TTCGCGTCGCGGGTCGCCTACTTGATAGATGACATGACTTTGCCTACTTGCATGTGGAACAAAATCAACGAATCAGGCGGGTGAACTGTGCACTATCAGCCAATCTAGAGGAAACGCGCACGCTGACCCACCCCTACTAGCGTGTGTGCAGCCACGAAGGGAGCGTGCTATGTTGCTGCTGCTTAGTAACAAGCAAATCCAGCGTCATAATCTCCGCTTCGTGGCCCACCAGCACCACAACCCTTAGAGCGACTCGCTCTAGACTAACATAGCGATCGTCGAACTCTAGTCCCAAGCGTCCCGCCCGCCCAGAGTTTCTTCCCAAGACTAACGAGTACGGTAAACAGCGTCCCAATCCCATGTATTCAGTTCAGAGCTTCTTTCCCAAACCAACGAGTACAGTGAAAGCGACCAGTATCAGCTCAGCTTGTCTCTTCCTCGGGCCCCTTACGCCTCTCCTCTGGCCCGCCGCGCCGCATGGCGCCCGTTCCTGTGGATGGATCACCGGCGGAGTGTTTGCACTTTTAGGGCTCTTCTCCCTTTTCTCAAGGCAACCTCCCTCTTCAGCGATCGCAACCCGTTAGGAGGCACCCACCGTCTCTCGCAGGACTGCTAATACCTCACCTCCCGATAGATTAACCTTTCCACGCCAGCGTCACTGAATGATAGGGTCAGCATGGCGCCGCCAAACAGTGCTAGCTCGCGCGCCGACTCCCGAACTAAATTGCGCGGCTCCTCGCCGCCTCCGCGCCCCCCGCTCGTCGCGGCACTAGAAGGAACAATGTGCCCTTTCCCCCGCGCCAAGGGTGCGCGCGGCCCCCTCACGTGGCTGCACGCCGCGCTCTGCTCCCCCCATCACGCGGCGCTGCTGCGAGCCCCTGCCGCCCTCTTCTTCCTGCTCCTCATCACCGCATGGTTCTCGGGCGCGCTGCATTGGCCCTTGTTTTCCCTCCCCGCATTCAGCGCCGTCGAAAGCGGCGTAGGGCCGTCTGAACTTGCCATTGAGGAGGCACGGCTGCAGGCGATCGAGAGTCTAGCCTTGAGATTGTCGCCGAAGTCGACGAAGCAGGACGACGACGTGGCAGCTGGAGGTGACGTGAAGAGAAAAGCGCCGCGAAAGGTGGGCGGCGGGAAGGCGCATGCGCCCGTGAAGAAGGGGGAGCAGGCGACGGTGAGTGCGAAAGAGGCGCGTGGCGCTGAAGGGGTCGCGGAGGAATCAACCACGCAACTCGCGAAGCTGTCTGCTAAGGAAGTGGCGAAAGACATGGATAACTTGCTAGCGGAGGAGGAGGTGTCGGCGGGAGACGCGGGTGGGACGCGGGATGGCAACGGGCTGGAGAGTGGGCGCGAAGGGGGCGATGCGTCGGACGATGTAAGTGGATCGACTGGTGAGGGGGGCAACGGAGAGTGGGAGGGGCGGACGGAGAGGACAAGGGAGGTGAATAAAGCTTCTGGGGAGGATGAGGGGAGGCGAGGAGCTGGCGATGACAGCGAGGACGAAACAGGCAGAGTGGATCGCGATCGACTCGATCCAGACGGTCCCCCCGCCCACAGCGATGGTGCGGCTGGTGACGCTCTGAGCGAGAATGAAGGTGATCCCGTTGCCGCCGCTCACAATTCCCCCTCTCCGACAGCTGTCGCATCAGTTTCCGCTGCTGACACGTCGGGTGACTCCTCGTCATCACCCCATTCCGAAGATACCGCGCTATCAGCATCGTCGCAATCATCATCGCCCAACGGGAACGACGGCTCTGAGGCGACGACATCCGTCGCACAGCCATCGTGCGACGGTCATCGTGTGTTCGTCTACTCCATGCCGCCCGTCTTCAACGACGACATAGTTCGCACGGCGTGCAACGACGACCCGCTGCTCGCATGGCTCACCTGCGATGCCTTCCGCAACCGCGCGCAAGGCCCCCGCCTCCCCGCCAACCGCGACGGCGGGCGCGCGCTGATCGCCGCGCTGCTGGCGGCGAAGATGGAAAAAACGGCGCAGGCGCGCGGGGAGGGGAAAGCGGAAGACGCGGAAGCGGGGGAATGGGCGTGGCTGCACCGGTGGTACAGCACGGAGCAGCACCAGATCGAAGCGCACTTCCGCACGCGCTTGGAGAACCACCCGTGTCGCACGCACGACGATACCGAGGCTGACGTGTTCCTGGTGCCGGCGTATATGGGGTGGAACGCGTATAAGAACACGCTTCACCCGGGCCACATGCCGCACCCGGGTCACTCGCTCAAGGAGTTTCTTCTCGGGCAGCCCGCGTTTCAGCGAAGCAAGGGAGCGCGCCACGTGGTGGTGCTGGGGCGCGCGATTTGGGACTTCGCCAATCACCATCAGGTGGACGAGCCGCCGCATTACAACGTCATTTTCGTGCCAGAGCTCGCTAATGTCACATTCCTTACAGTTGAGCAGCCGCCCTATAGAGAGAGCTACGCCACGCCTATATTCTCAGTACCATACACCACCACTTTCCACCCCGCGTCGCTCGCGGAAATCAACCACTGGCTCGCGCTCGTCGCCGCGCGCCGCCGCCCGTTTCTCTTCTCCTACGTGGGCGGACGCCGCCCCTCGGGCACGACGAGCGGGCCGCTGCGCAAGGCGCTGATCGCGGAGTGCGAGCGCGCGGGGAACGCGACGTGCCTGTGGATGAAATGCACGGGGCCCGACGAGGTGGGGCAGGAGCTGCCGCTCTTCACGGCGGCGGACGCGGCGGCGGACGCAGGGACCGCGCTGGGAGCGGCGGTGGAGGCGGTGGTGGGGAGCGCGACGCCGCGGGACGCGGAGGGGGAGGACGTGGCGGAGTGGGTGCCGTCAGGATGCTATGACACGTGGCAGGTGGCGGTGGTGATGCTGCAGAGCAAGTTTTGCCTTCAGCCGACAGGGGACAGCTCTGTTAGACGCTCCACGTTTGACTCGTTATTAGCAGGCTGCATTCCCGTGTTCTTTAAAGAGGAGAGCTTTAACATGCAGTACCCGTGGCACTTCCCCGAAGACAGGAGCACCATCTCCGTGACGCTCGACGAGGCTCGTGTGCTGAATGGGACGGCTGAGGTGGCAGCTGAGCTGGCAGCGATCCCGGAGGAGCGTGTGGCGAGCATGCAAGCGAGGATAAGGGAGTTGGTGCCGCAGCTGCTGTACCGCCACATGGCAGTGCCACGTGGAGGGGAGGGGGTGGAGCGGAGGGTTGGGGGGGATACTAGAGAGGGCGGTGGGGTAGAGAGTGGTGACGGGGAGTGGAATGATGCTTTTGATGTGTCGTTTGACAGCCTTGTTGCTGAGTTCAAGCGGAGAGAGGGGAAGAGTGAATGAAGGAGAGGGGGGTGAGTGAGGGGAGAGGGGGATGAGTTAGGGGGGAAGAGGGGTAGTGGGAGTGCAACGGTGGAAGAGTGAGTGAGTGTAGTGGGGAGTGAGTGAGGAGGCAGCGCAGATTAGGTGTGGTTAAGGAAGCAACAGTGAGCGGAGAACAGGCAGGTGGGTTGGAAATAAGCAGTCGAGCTCAACATTCTCGTGCAGGGTCGGTGCCCGTGCTCCCTCGGCACGCATCGGCAGGCAGCAGGCGTGGGCAGGCAGCCGCACGCTGTGGTGTGGTGCTTGCCCCGTGCTCACCGCCTGGAGTTGGAGCAGCAGGGTGGGGTGGCTGGCAGGGGTGAATGGAGCAGCAGTGGGCGTGACATGACAGAGAAGAGCTAGAGTGAGGGAGCCAAGGGGGCAGGGGTCAAGAGGGGAGCCAAGGGGGCAGGGGTCAAGGGGGGAGCCAAGGGAGCAGGGGTCAAGGGGGGAGCCAAGGGGGCAGGGGTCAAGGGGGGAGCCAAGGGGGCAGGGGTCAAGGGGGGAGCCAAGGGGGCAGGGGTCTAGGGGGGAGCCAAGGGGGCAGGGGTCAAGGGCGGAGCCAAGGGGGCAGGGGTCAAGGGGGGAGCCAAGGGGGCAGGGGTCAAGGGGGGGGGAGCCAAGGGGGCAGGGGTCAAGGGGGGAGCCAAGGGGGCAGGGGTCAAGGGGGGAGCCAAGGGGGCAGGGGTCAAGGGAGGAGCCAAGGGGGCAGGGGTCAACGGGGGGGAGCCACGGGATGAGTGAGGGGGAGGAGCAGAGCAGCAGGCATAGGCAGTGCGACAGCAGCGAGTAATGGCGGCATTAATGTCCCTCATTCTGGTTCCTGGTTGGCTGGCTGGTGGGTCTGGATGAGACGGCCTGGATGGATAGCGAGTGCAGCGCAGGTAGGTAGGTAGGTAGGTCCGGTTGAGAGGAAGCTCGTGAGCGACTTGAGGGCAGTGCGGGGCATTCAGAGGACGCAACCCGCTTGGTGGCTACCATGAATGGGCCACATGGCCATGGGATGGGCATGGGTTAACTTTGCCTGATGCATAGGGGGTAGCATAGACAGATATTCTTTGAATTGCATTCTTTATCTGGTTGTACTGTATTGCAGGATGGTAGTTAGATGTTACAACTTGTAGAAATATGTAGCACTGAGGGCGTATTCCTATCCTCCTATCAATCTGACCTCCTATCAAGCTCACACTGAAAAATCCCCTAAACCCAAAACCTCTCACTACTTTCCACAGGCATAAGGTACAATCTTGATAGGAGGTGGCTTGATAGGAGGCCGTAGGAATACGCCCTGAATGTAGAGTAAGTTCTTAACTTAATTCAAGGCCCCGCTAGTCCACCAGATGGCTGTGGCTGCAGTCACGAAGGATACCAGTTATGGTGTCGCCCACTTTCAGACTGGCTTTCCAAATTTAGCCGTATCATCAGAGATGGATGTATGCTGCAGCCCACACATGCATGCCTAACCCCTGCCATTCCCTGCAACGTCATGCCACAAGATGGCACACCATGGCAGCACAGCAGATGCAGCGGCGGCAATCGTGCGCCTCAGAGGCCCTCCACTCCAGCACGCGCCGCTCCACGTGCTCCCCTCCCTCCTCCGCCACCCAGCATGCGAGGCATGGCACGGCGGCGCCCATGTGCCCTTCTCACGGCAGCTACTCGGATGTCTCGATCAAAAGCCCTCCAGCTTGCGCCGCTCCACGCGCTCCTCCCCTTCCTCCGCCAGCCAGCACTTGAGGCGCGGCAGCCACGCCTCCCTGACGGCACGGAAGCGCTGCAGCGACGGGCTGTCGGAGAGCACCAGCAGCACCACTCGGTCGTTAGGGCGCAGCGGGGGAGGTACGGAGGGGATGGGCACCAGCATCTGTGCGCAGGGGCACAAGTGGGGCATGCAGGGGGGGCGCATAAGGGGGGTGGCAAAAAGGGGCATGGGTCATCTGGGAAGAATTGGCAGCAGCAGGTGGGACGGGGAGGATGTGGGGCATGTCCATCCGCATCTGCACACACACTGCCACAAGGCGTGCACCGTGCACGGGAAGGCGAGCGGTTGTGGCGAGCGCAAAACGAATGGAGGTAAGGGAACAGAGAGAGGACGGGCACCAGAGGATGGTGCTGGTGTGCATGCTAGAACAGGCATAAGGGTATGAGCCATGGAACATGCACAAGTGAAACTATCAGGATTGACAATTGCAGTATTTGACTCTGCGGGTGCTGCTGGCGTCATTCCCACTTGCCTCTATGCATGTGCCGCTGTCATCACCAATCAGCAACCGCCACCTGGCCAGCGGGCCCCTCTGCTCCACCTGCACGTCCAGGAGCTGCGCCTGCCACACGCCTGACGGGGAGGTGACATGTGGGGGAGGTGGCACAGAGAGGAGTTACATGTTGGTGCATGCAATCCCCACTTGGGTAACAATCACCTCGTCCCTCTCTGCACGTCTGAGAGACGCACATTTTGGTAGCCATGCCCTGAACCGACAGCAACGGGAGGAAAAGATTGGCAATGAGGAAATGTATCATGCGTGGGTGGGATGGACACGATTGACGGGGGAGAGCAGTGTGGGCGCACAGGCAAGTGGATGGCATCACACTTCACTCTGCTCTGTGCATGCGCTCTGTCTCATGCCCTTCTGCATGCTTTTATCACTCCCCACTCACCCACGAGCTCATACCCGACTCCAAACACCTGAAATCCTATATCAAAATCCCCTCACCTGCATACTTATATCGGACCCGGAGGGCAGAGTTGCAGGCAGCAGCATGCCAGAGAGGCCACCAGAGGAAGTACATGGCGGCAGCGATGGTGGCGAACACGTTCACGTTGTACAGCAGCACTGCGCCGCCCATGGAGAGCACGAAGCGCTGCAGCCAGTCTAGCGGGGAGCCCATGCAGGCCACAACCTGAGCGAGAGAGTGTGGGAGTGAGAGACGGAGGGAGAGAGGGAGTGATGGAGGGAGCGCGTGTGGGAGCGAGTGTGAGGAAGGGCAAAGCAAGCCATGGGTGGGCCGTCGTGGGATGCAATGCGTGGGTGCAAGAGCATGCATGAGAGTGCCAGTTGCATGCGTCAGCATGTCACCGCATCGCACCTGGGAGCCAGAGCCAGCACAAGGGACGAGCGAGTCCAGTGAAGAGGGCGGCAGGGGGAGCACCGAGGGGAGAGGGCGCGAGGAGGAGGTGGGGGAAGGGGAAGGCTGGCGGAGAGGAACAGGGGCAGGGGGAGGGGGTGAGGGGATGGGTGCGAGGGGGAAGGAGGAGGAGGAGAGGGGCTGCAGTTGCAGCTGTTGCTGTGGAGGTGATGATTGTGGCAGTTGCCTTGATGCTCGCTGCTTCTGCTGCTGCTGCTGCTGCTGCTGTGATCTCCTGCTCATGTCCCCACCAACCATCCCAGTACCCATGCTCCCACCCGTGCTACCCCCCCCCATCTCCGTCGGCCCCACGCCTCTTTTCAGCGTACTCCACGGCTCTCCACCCGGCCTCCCACCCTTCACCCGCATCCCCACAGCGTCCCTCTGCTCCAACTCGTCTCACGCGCTCTACATTGCCGTCCCCCATCCACCCCTCCACGCCCCCCGCCCTCCCCCCTTCTGCTCCGCCCCTCCCCTCCCCCCAGCCTCCGCGTTGACCCCGCACGCCCTGCTCCTCGCCGTCCCCATCCCATCCGCTCCCCCAATCCGCAGCCCCGTTCTCCCGCCCCCTCCCCGTGTCCCACTCCCCGTTGCGCACCGACTGCGCTCCCGCGTCGCCATTGGAAGGTCGCGTCAGCCAATCAACGGCGCCGCCTGCCTCCTGCCGCAGCCTATCCTCGGATGCCACGTCATCGGCGTACCCAGCAACACGCTGCCGCGAACCCTTACTTCCCGCCTTTCTTCCCTGAGCTATGCGCCACTCCCCCTGTCGCTGCGACTGTGTTTCCGCCCCCCACCGCTCCCCCTCCCCGCGACGCTCCTCCGCCTCGAAGCCTTCCGCCCAGCGCCCCGCCGCCTGCGACAATTTCCGCCCTTCCGAACGCCCCTTGGGTCCGCTGCCCTGTCCGGCCGTTGCGCGTACGCGAGCGGAAGCGCGAACCACAGCAGAAACAAGGGCGGCGCGCGCAGGCACGAGCGAAGCAGGTCGTGCGGCTGCGAGTAACGACAGACCGCAGCTATTGGCGCAGCGCAAACGCTCCCCGTTGAGCGCGCGAGCGGAGGGCGACGCAACGGGCGGAAGCATGGCTGCGGGCAAGGGAGACTAGAACTAGAGGCGAAGGGGCGAAGTGGTGACTGCGGGGCGAGGCGGAGCACCGTCGAGAGGCAAGCAAGGTGCAGGCGGACGTTGGAGTGAGTGTCGAGCAACGCGCGAGTCTAAGAGTTGGACATGTCGTGCCTTGGTGTCATCAGACAACATACGCGATAAGATAATGCTCTCGATTTTTGAGAAAATGTACAGTCCTTGTATCTAAGTTACCGTATAACTATTTAACATAACACTGGCCTAATTCCATCTAAGGGATGGTCAGAGTGCATCAGTGACACACGTATACTATTATTGTGGAAGGGGCCCCGTTCCACTAGAAGGCGTGCGTTTGGCATAAAGCATTTTGAGAATTCTCAAAACACTCAGTGCATAGCTCTAACCTTGAAAATTAGAAAAAGGCTTTCTCGGCCATGCCCCTTGGTTCATGAGCAACCAGCTATTCGTCTGCCACTCATGACGAGCTTGCCGATCAGGCAGGCTCATCCTTGGGCTTCGTCCCACAAACCGTGTGCGCAACACAGTCATCATCCTTCCTCCCCTTCCCTTCCTCGTCTCCCCCGGTCACGTGCCTGGTTTGCGCTTGAAGCGGTTGGGCTTGGTGGGGTCTAGCGGCACATAGGGTGGTGGGGAGGCCGGCGGTGGCGGTGGCGGCGACTTGGCGGGCGACGACGACGGCGACGGCTTAGGCTTGGAAGGTGACGGGGATGCCTTCGGCTTGGAGGGCGACGGGGAAGGCTTGGGCTTCTTGGGCGTTGGCTTGGGCTTGGGTTTCGGTTTAGGCTTGGAGGTAGGCTTGGAGGCGGCAGTGGTGGAGTCGCCAGAGAAGAGCGGCTCGGCGAGCAGCATCTCGTGAAAGAGGTCGACCCATATGTCCGGCACGCCTGGTTGGCACCAATGTAGGCAGTCCAGGTACTTCACCGGCTGTTGGGTTGGGCGGTGGGGATATGGGATGGGATTGGGAGTGGGGATGGGTATGAGCATTGGGAAAGTTATGAGAATGGGGATTCGGTGGGGTAGGGACAGGCAAGGGAGTGGATATGTGTGCAATAGACAGCATCCTCTCTTGGAAAAGGTCCACCCAGATGTCAACATGCCCGGCTGGCACCTTTGCAGACAGTCGAGCGACTGGTGGGGAAGGGGTAGGTGGGGGTTGTGGGCATGGTATCGAAGGTGGGATGGATATAAAATTGAGAATGGGGATGCGAGTTGTGCATGCATTCATATGACGGGCACTCCTGGCGGGCACCGGAGCAGACAGTCTAAGGGCGCGTGTCTTTTGGTTTTTATAAGCAAAACTCGAGTTTTTGGTCGAACTTTTCCATCTGAGCCTAGGTCGACCTAGGCTCGAGTATAGCCAAATCTGTAACCCGAGTCGCGGTTCCAACACTCTCGAGAACCACAAGACACACAAATGGTCGACTTTCGAAGTTGAACTTTTGCAACTTTCCCGAGTCGCGGCCCATAGTCGTAGGTTACCCGGTTTGGCCTCTTGACAGAGCGCCACGTATGTCCCCTTGCGTCCACCGCCACATGTGAGTTGGCGAAGCCGGAACCCTGTCGATCGAGTCGCTCGTGCTAACGACGTCAGCTGCGACAGTCGCAGAATTCGCTTCTTCATCGTGTTTGGTCAAAAGGACACACGATTGGATTTTCGTGCGAGACTGCTGTTTGGTACGAGAAGTTCAACCATAGATTCGGTCCCGCTTCAGACATGACATTGTCCTTGGACACACGATGGCCATGCGAAGCATCTAACGAAATTAACGAATAAGGTTACCACCAAAAGTTCAACCAAATTTCCGAACGTCTACACCAAAAGACACGCGCCCTAAACACTTCACCGGCTGTGGGGGATGGGCTGTGAGGGGGTGGGCTGTGGGGGGTGGCCGGTCGGGATGCGAGTGGGAATGAGAGTGGGGATGGGGATGGGGATGGGGATGGGGATGGGGATGGGGATGGGGATGGGGATGGGAGTGGAGATGTGTGTGGTTGAACATGCACCAAAACTGGAGAATCTCGTTATGCATGAGTGCGAGGAGTGATACGGGTGAGAGGAACGAGAAGAGCGAGAGGAGGAGGATGCAGAGGAGCGCACGTTGTTCTTTTTCGAGTAGATCCCGCAGTGCGCCTCGGGGCGGTACGCGCTCACGAGCGTGATGTCAAACCGCCGCACCGCCGACCCCCCGGGGAACGCGGCGCGCTGCATGGGCCAATAGCGCGAGAGCTGCACGTTGGTTCGCAGCATCTTCTCAATCTCCTTGTCGTTCAGCACGCGCCCCGGCGACCCGCACACGCCGCTGCCGCCGATCTTCTTGGCGGAGTGCTGCGGCGGCGCGGTCATGAAGAAGGGCACGGGGAACGCCTTGCCCGCCTGCCTCCGCGCCTCGAAGAAGTTGGCGATCGTCTTCAGCGCGCGCCTGGCGTGGGCGAGGGGAGAAACGGGGCAGCGGGGAAGGGGAATCGGGGAGAGGAAGGATACGTCAAAGGGGGCATGCGTGAGTGTGCTGCATGCGTACGAGCGTGCATTATTTCCCCTGTGAATCACGCAAGGCCCATGCATTCTCCCTCGCCCCCCGCGCCACTCACACATGCGCCATGCACGGGTCGACGGCGTTGAGCGTCTGCCAGTCGCACAAGCGCCATGCACCCTATTCCCCCTCCCTTTCCCCCTCTCAGCCCACCCCCCTTGCACTCACGCGTGCGCCATGTAGGGGTCGACGCCGTTGCGCGTCTGCCAGTCGTCGTTGGTGAAGATGAGGCGCGGCGCGTCGGGCACCACGCGCCAGTGCGACGTGGTCTCGAGCACCACGGCGTGCCACTCGCCCACGATGTCGCCCCACTGCGGGTTGACGGTCGTTACGTCGATGATCGCGTCGTCGGGGCCGGGCGTGAATCCCGTTGCTAGCTTCGCTATCATGCCCTTGTCTGTGGCGTTGTGTGCAAGTGGGGGGAAGAGGAGGGAGAGGGAGATCAGCTCGGCGCGCCATTACGGCGCGCCACCACGTCGTTCCGCTGCGGGTTCACCGTCTCCACGTCGATGGTCGGGTCGTCGGGGCCGGGCGTAAAACCGGTCGCCAACTTCGCTATCATGCCCTTGTCTGACGGGGGTTAATTGCGTGTATGATTGTATGCGTGGGTGCGTGCAAGGGGCCGGGGGAGGGAGAGAATCAGCACGGCGCGCCATTACGGGGGTCGGGGCGGAAGAGTGTGTCAGGGAGAGAAGGAGGGAGGGAGGCAGCGAGTATTGAGCGCACAGCAGAAGAGGGGAGGGAGGGTTGTCAAGGCAGGCGCTCTTACACACCGCATTCGCCACGTATGGGTGTCTCCGCGGATCAACCCAGTCCCACGCACGTGGGTGCGCGAGGCTGGCGCAAGTAAGCAGAACTGCTGCCGCGCACCTCGTGATGCGATCACGGCACTGCACGATGCGCGCAGGCAGGTACGCGCGAGGCAGGCAACATGGCTGCGGCACCGCCTCCGCACCTGCCCAACGCATCTACAGCGCTGGCAGAGCTACAGCCCAGCGCTTCCCCGCCGCCCCAACCAGCGCTCACCCTGCCCACCCATGGCGCTGCCTCCTCGCCGCCCCAACCAGCGCTCACCCTGCCCACCCATGGCGCTGCCTCCTCGCCGCCCCAACCAGCGCTCACCTGCCCACCCATGGCGCTGCCTCCTCGCCGCGCCACCCAGCGCTAATACGACACTGCTTGACCACCGCCTCCCAACGTACCGACGGACGTTGAGGCGCATGAGGTGCCTCACCGCGCCCCAGGCCCACCCACGGCACTGCCTTCTCGCCGCCTCCCAACTTAGCGACGGACGTGCGCATAGCGATGGTCGTCCTAGATGCTGCCGGCGCTGCGAGGTCCCAGTTACCCACGGCACAGCTTGCCCCGCTACTCCTCGTGGTTATGACATTGCCTACCCGCCCCCCCCAACGTACCGACGGAGGTGCGCATGAGGTAGTCGTCCCAGATGCTGACGATGCGCGCGCTGAACGCGGGGATGTCGTAATAGAACGCCACCATGTCCGGCATGTACTGCGCGCCGCTGCCGCCGTCCAGCGTGCGGCGCGACCCGTTCTTCACCGTCGTGACCTCGCTGATCTGTGCGCAAGCGGCAGTCGCGGAGAGGCGCGGAAGGGAAGGGGAGGAGGGCAGACAAGCGCAGACAGAGGCGGACAAGGTCAACGAGGGCGGAAGATGGCGGAGGAGGGGGGATGAGGGGGGAGGATGGCGGAGGAGGGCGGATGAGGGGGGAGGATGGCGGAGGAGGGCGGATGAGGGGGGAGGAGGGCGGAGGAGGGGGGACAAGGTCAAGGAGATGTGAGTCCAGAGGAAGATTTGCGAGAGCCACATGGCGAGGCACAGACCCTCCCATCTCACACTCACAGCAGCGACTAGCCCTTGACCCTCTCCTCACCTGGCAGAGCAGCGAGGGCACGAAGTTGGCGGCGGTGAGCGAGTCGCCGATGACGGCGATGGTCTTGCCCTTGATCATGTTCAGGAACGACCTGCACCGTGACGGACCACATTTGGATTCAAAATAAGATCCGATTCAGATTCGCGGTGAGGGTGCGGATTCGATCAGCATGCGCTGCACGCCAGCACATTGCGATGGGCCGATGAGGGGACGGGAAGCCGCAATGAGGATAGCGCGGCGCAAGCAAGGACTGCGGCACTGGTCTGAAAGCGGCGGTGGTGACAGCAACGAGCGGGGTGCGTGTGGTCTAGGTTGACCGCGAGCTGTGGGGGTGCGATGGCGAGCGGATTCATTGGCGATACAGGGACGCACGAGGGGCCAGCGCGGGGGAAAGACGCACTTGGAGTTGAAGCGGAGCGTGCGGCCGCAGCTTTCGGAGTACCACGAGTAGCGCACGAACCCGCTGTCCGGCCGCCCGTTGCCGCGACACCGGGAAATTTGAAACTGCGCAGAGGGGGGACGCGCGGATTGGGGGAGGGCGCGCGGAGGGCGAAATGCGGAGTGGAGGGGAGTGGAAGATTGCGGAAAGTGAGGGGAGGGGGGAGGGAGGGCAGAAGTGACAGAGGCAAGGAAAGAGGAAAGGGGACGCACAGGGGGGCGCGCGGCGGGCTTACGAGGAAAGGGCAGCTCTCATCGTAGGGCGGCCGCGACGAGTCCGCCACCCATTTTCCATCAAACAGATCGCATGAAAGCGCTAGGCCAATGAGAACGCTCCACGTCAATGCTGTGCACTGTAACGCTAAACTGCCGCCGCGTCTGCTGCAGTGCCACCACATGGCACCTGCGGTTCGACGCTGCCCTTGTAACGACTAAATTGTCCGTGGGTTGGACAAGCGGGTAACCAATCTACATACAAGTGTGGTAGCGTAAAACAGGTTCTAAACCCGTGCTGAGTGCTAGCGTGTGAGTCGTTAGTCGAGGCTTCCTGCAACACCTAGCAATGTAGCGCCATTCGCGGCGAGTTTCTCGTGAAAATGCAAACGCCGCTTGCGACGGCTTGGCGCGTCATGATTGTACGCGGTAGGGCGATGCGAGGCTGGGTGGCAACAAGACGTGATCCGCACGTGGGGAGTTTAGAGGCTGAGCGATGGCAAACTGAGGAGAGCGACGCATGAGCGCGACAATGTCGTGAAGCTTCTTAAATGGGCTGGTTAAAGCGCTAGTATGACATATTTAGCGCGATGAAAGAGCACTTGATCGGGCTAGGTTTGACGCGAGTAGGTATCACTTGTTGCTAGTGCCTACATGGACGATTGGTTTTTACCGTCTGTACTTTCTGCTCCTACTATGTTCGACGTTTCGCCCATCAGGGAGATAAAAACACAGGTCTTGCACCTCACTTGGCATCGCAAGATCAATAGTGCAGCCAGCGCGAGAGCAACGACGGGACAGATCTGATGTGGCAGTGTCGGCTGTATCTCGCAGTGCGCTTGACTGTGCGTGTGTTTCGAGTCCACCCTAGATAGGCGCGCCATAGTGATATGTAGGCTGGAAGAGGGTTGTTGGGCTCAAATGAAACCTATCCGTGAATCCATCATGGTTGTCGGCCAGGTGAAGGAGCATGGGCGAGGAGAGGAGGGGGGAAGTCCTGCCGACGACGGGGCAGAATGATGATGCAGTCGATTCGCGCTTCGCTCAGAACCCGAATTTCGACATGCGGCTCGCTCTCGCGGGCAATTTTCGCTCCACCGCCTTAGCGGCGCGAGGCTGTTCGGCGAACGTGTGCCCTCAGATAATGATCCGATTGGTGAGTGATTGATCCTGTCGTTCCAGTGAGCGAGTGTAGCGAAATGTTTGGACGATGGCTACTCGGCGAAGAGGGGGCAAATAACATGCATAAGTTATAATGTTTTACATTATAAACCAGGATAACATGAATACTCATGGATAACATTTTTTTACATCGACCTCATCAGTCACTGCCAAAACCAGGTTAGAAGTTGCATTGGGTCGAAGTGGAAACCCTAATCCAGGATAAACAGAAGCTTGAGCTGGGCCGAAATGGAAATACGTTGCTGACCACTTGTCTAGACTGGAACCCCCTTGTGAACTGCCATTAAAGCCAGCAGCTAAAATAGTGACCCCCCCCTTCTAGTTGGGTCCACTTGAAAACACAAGCTCGTTACGAACGTTTGAAAAGTTGACGGCCTGTGCGTGTTTACTTTTTTTTCATCCCAGACGAGTCTTGATCTGAACGGGAAACATGAGGAACTTGTTTACAAATCTTATTGGTGGCGACTTTCACCCACATTCGTATGCGAATTCGGCGCAAGGCTGCAACCCCACATTCAACATAGCAGCCGTCGTAACTTCACAAGAATTCCCATATGCAAAAAAACAGCGCACACACAGGCAAAATCCAGCGCGCACAGGCAAAAACTCGCAAAATCCTGCGCGAACACTGGCATGATCAAGCAAAATCCATGGCACACACAGGTGAAATCAGGCGAAGAAGATATAAATAAAGAAATAAATGATGTACGAAAAGAGAAAGGGCGACGGGACGGTTGATTGGTCGACGGCGAAGAGAAGGGACTGGGGACAAGGGGGCTGACGGGAGAGGAGGGGAGAGAGGGGGAACGACGGGATGGGAGGGGAGAAGGGAAAAACGACGGGATAGGAAGGAAGAGAGGAGGAACGACGGGATGGGAGGGGAGAGAGGAAGAAAGACGGGATGGGAGGGTAGAGCGGAGGAACGACGGGATGGGAGGGTAGAGAGGAACGACGGGATGCGGGGAGGGAAGACAGATTGTGAGGGGAGGGAGGAAGGGCGCGGAGAGGGCATTGCATAGCAAGAGCGAAGGGCGGATTGGCCGATGATGGAGAGCGTTTCAGAGATTAATGATTGGGGAGTAGAGACGAAAGGCGATGGGAAGGCATTTCGGGACGAGCACGAGGGCGACGAGGTCGGTGATGGGAAGGGAGAGAGGAAGGGCGCGGGGAGAGCGTTTGAGTGCGAGCGCGAAGGCGACCAGGCAGGCGATGGGAGGAGAAAGTGGGCGGGGGACGAGAAGGCGTTTCGTGGCGAGCGGGAAGGCGATGGGGTGGGTGATGGTGGGTGGGAGGGGAATTTGCGACGGCTGCATCTAAGGCTACGAGAAGGGAGGGGAGAGAGCAAGAGCGACGGCAAGGGAGGGGAGAGAGATAGAGCGACGGGAAGGGAGGGGAGAGAGATAGAGCGACGGGATGGGAGGGGAGAGAGATAGAGCGACGGAAAGGGAGGGGAGAGAGATAGAGCGACGGGAAGGGAGGGGAGAGAGATAGAGCGACGGGAAGGGAGGGGAGAGAGATAGAGCGACGGGATGGGAGGGGAGAGAGATAGAGCGACGGAAAGGGAGGGGAGAGAGATAGAGCGACGGAAAGGGAAGGGAGAGAGATAGAGCGACGGAAAGGGAGGGGAGAGAGATAGAGCGACGGGAAGGGAGGGGAGAGAGATAGAGCGACGGGAAGGGAGGGGAGAGAGATAGAGCGACGGGAAGGGATAGGAGAAGGCGATTGCAACGGAAAGGGGGCGGCGAGAGAGAGAGCGACGAAAAGGGAGAGGAGAAGGCGATTGGTTCAGGAAAGGGAGCGGCGAGAGAGAGATTTGCGATGGGAAAATCGCGAGGGTGATTGGAAGAGAGGGGTAATGGAGATGACGGTAGGAGGGCGACGGGACGTCGACGGGACGGACGACATGATCGCGACGCGACGGTCGATGGGACGGCGTCAGGATGGTCAATGGGACGGCGTCAGGACGGTCGATCGGAACGGGAGGGCGGGCGAGATGAGATAGGAAGGCGGCGAGAGGGCATTCGAAACGTCACAAAGTACTACACAACCATGCCAGCTTCACTACGCGTCTAAATTGAAACAACAACGGCCTAAGTTGACGGTTCGATGGCTAGACATGCTACACATGATTAAGAAGCAGAGATGTATGATCGGAAGAACTAGTAGTTGTTCACCCAGACCCAACTTGAACCCCAAGCTGGGCCCAAAATCGCAAGGACGGGCATGAGCGATCGCAATGCTAGTGTTGTGCAGCTTCCAAAACTGATATGCGACGCCTGACATGCTGTGTTCCTTCTTTTGGTTTTGGCGGGAACCAATCAGATGTGTTCGATCTGCAAAAAACGCTCTCAATGAAACACTGGAAACTTGTCGGTTTGGTTCCAAAATTGTTTCGCACGGCAAGCCCTCTTTCAAGTTGGCGTTGGGTTCACTATTTTGCATTTTGGTTTTAAACAAGAGTTAATGCCTCCACATAAACTTTTGCAAGAGGAAAGCCAACAAAAGGGCAAAACCACTAGCACTAACCCTAACCTACCGTAATTACTTTCTTCCCCCCCTATGCCAAGGCCTTCTGGACCTTCCACCCCCACCACCGCTACCGCCTTGACCACCCCCTCCGTGGATGCCCTGCACGGCCCGGCCAATGAGCTTCCCACCACCGCCGCCACCTGCACCGCCGTCCTGCCGCACCTTCTTCGGCTGCGGCGCTGCTGCCGCCCCGCCCCTGCCATTTGCTGGCCCTGCCCCTCGCTTCGCCCTGCTTGCAGCAGTGTGGGGGGGGGGGGGGGGGGGGGGGGGGGTAGAGAGGACGTGGGGGTGGGAAGGGGAAGGGATGAAATAGGGGGAAGGCGGGGTGTTGAAGTGAGATGGGCCTGCCAGGAGCAGCGGAGGCATAGCGAGCACACAAGGCGAGCCGAGCACTTTGCGTGCTCTCGACCACGCAAAACAAATGCAGGGCTGTTGGAGCAGGAGAGCAGTGAGACTTACCCGACTGCTTGTGCTGGGCCAGGCTTGGCAGCGGAGGGCCCTGCAGGGGCAGCAGCCTCGGGCTTCCAGGAGAGCGCCGGTGCCGCCTTGCCACCCAGGAACTGCGGCACGGAGGACTTGAGTGGCTGGGCGGCGGAGCAGCATAGGGCGCGGACGAGGCAAAGGGCAAGAGGCACACAGGAGTGGAGGGGGACAGAGTCAGTGGTGCTTCTGTGCAGGGCGGGTGGGAGTGCGCGTGGCAGCTTGCCGTCCAGAAAGGGACGTGTGGTGAAGTAGGAGTGTGGTGGGGAGCATGTTGGGTGAGGTGGGATGCAGGGAGAGTGAGATACTCGTGCACCAGGATGGACAGAACACTCCAGGCACAGCCATGATTGGCCACCGCGAGTGCATGAGATGATTCAAAGAGAATGTTGGCTGCACCACGACTGCTGCTATGACAGGACCCTTGCTGTGACCCCAACACACCTTGCTAAGCTTCTCGATGTTTTGCAGTGCCTTGAGCGTGCGCGCCGCTGCTGCCTTCTTCTCCTTCTGCCATCATTAACCCAGACAGGGTGAGCGTGGGCAACCAGGTGGTGTGCGCGATTGAGCATTTGAACATATGTGCATGTGCTCATGTATGAACGTGTGCATGTGTGAAGCATGCTATGACACAGAAAGTGTAAACACTCTGTGACTCGGGCAGAATACGGAGCAGGCAGGCAGGCAGGCAGGCAGGCAGGCAGGCAGGCAGGCAGGCAGGCAGGCAGGCAGGCAGGCAGGCAGGCAGGCAGGCAGGCAGGCAGGCAGGCAGGCAGGCAGGCAGGCAGGCAGGCAGGCAGGCAGGCAGGCAGGCAGGCAGGCAGGCAGGCAGCAGGCAGGCAGGCAGGCAGGCAGGCAGGCAGGCAGGCAGGCAGGCAGGCAGGCAGGCAGGCAGCAGGGCAGGCAGGCAGGCAGGCAGGCAGGCAGGCAGGCAGGCAGGCAGGCAGGCAGGCAGGCAGGCAGGCAGGCAGGCAGGCAGGCAGGCAGGCAGGCAGGCAGGCAGGCAGGCAGGCAGGCAGGCAGGCAGGCAGGCAGGCAGGCAGGCAGGCAGGCAGGCAGGCAGGCAGGCAGGCAGGCAGGCAGGCAGGCAGGCAGGCAGGCAGGCAGGCAGGCAGGCAGGCAGGCAGGCAGGCAGGCAGGCAGGCAGGCAGGCAGGCAGGCAGGCAGGCAGGCAGGCAGGCAGGCAGGCAGGCAGGCAGGCAGGCAGGCAGGCAGGCAGGCAGGCAGGCAGGCAGGCAGGCAGGCAGGCAGGCAGGCAGGCAGGCAGGCAGGCAGGCAGGCAGGCAGGCAGGCAGGCAGGCAGGCAGGCAGGCAGGCAGGCAGGCAGGCAGGCAGGCAGGCAGGCAGGCAGGCAGGCAGGCAGGCAGGCAGGCAGGCAGGCAGGCAGGCATGGCAGGCAGGCAGCAGGCAGGCAGGCAGGCAGGCAGGCAGGCAGGCAGGCAGGCAGGCAGGCAGGCAGGCAGGCAGGCAGGCAGGCAGGCAGGCAGGCAGGCAGGCAGGCAGGCAGGCAGGCAGGCAGGCAGGCAGGCAGGCAGGCAGGCAGGCAGGCAGAGGCAGGCAGGCAGGCAGGCAGGCCGGCAAGGCAGGCAGGCAGGCAGGCAGGGCAGGCAGGCAGGCAGGAGGCAGGGCAGGCAGGGCAGGCAGGCAGGCAGGCAGGCAGGCAGGCAGGCAGGCAGGCCAGGCAGGCAGGCAGGCAGGCAGGCAGGCAGGCAGGCAGGCAGGGCAGGCAGGCAGGCAGGCAGGCCAGGCAGGCAGCAGGCAGGCAGGCAGGCAGGCAGGCAGGCAGTCAGGCAGGCAGGCAGGAGGCAGGCAGGCAGGCAGGCAGGCAGGCAGGCAGGCAGGCAGGGGCAGGCAGGCAGGCAAGGCCAGGCAGCAGGCAGGCAGGAGGCAGCAGGCAGGCAGGAAGGCAGGCAGGCAAGGCAGGACAGGCAGGCAGGCAGGGCAGGCAGGCAGGCAGGCAGGCAGGCAGGCAGGCAGGCAGGCGGCAGGCAGGCAGGCAGGGCAGGGCAGGCAGGCAGGCAGGCAGGCAGGCAGGCAGGGCAGGCAGGCGGCAGGCAGGCAGGGCAGGCAGGCAGTCAGGCAGGCAGGCAGGCAGGCAGGCAGGCAGGCAGGCAGGCAGGCAGGCAGGCAGGCAGGCAGGCAGGCAGGCAGGCAGGCAGGCAGGCAGGCAGGCAGGCAGGCAGGCAGGCAGGCAGGCAGGCAGGCAGGCAGGCAGGCAGGCAGGCAGGCAGGCAGGCAGGCAGGCAGGCAGGCAGGCAGGCAGGCAGGCAGGCAGGCAGGCAGGCAGGCAGGCAGGCAGGCAGGCAGGCAGGCAGGCAGGCAGGCAGGCAGGCAGGCAGGCAGGCAGGCAGGCAGGCAGGCAGGCAGGCAGGCAGGCAGGCAGGCAGGCAGGCAGGCAGGCAGGCAGGCAGGCAGGCAGGCAGGCAGGCAGGCAGGCAGGCAGGCAGGCAGGCAGGCAGGCAGGCAGGCAGGCAGGCAGGCAGGCAGGCAGGCAGGCAGGGAGGCAGGCAGGCAGGCAGGCAGGCAGGCAGGCAGGCAGGCAGGCAGGCAGGCAGGCAGGCAGGCAGGCAGGCAGGCAGGCAGGCAGGCAGGCAGGCAGGCAGGCAGGCAGGCAGGCAGGCAGGCAGGCAGGCAGGCAGGCAGGCAGGCAGGCAGGCAGGCAGGCAGGCAGGCAGGCAGGCAGGCAGGCAGGCAGGCAGGCAGGCAGGAAGAGAGGGAGGAGGCAGGGAGGGGAGGGGAGCTTACAAGGTCGGTGATGGTGGGCTCGTCCTTGGCGGAGCGCTGCTGCTTGCTCACCTCCGCCACCTCCTGCAGCACTGCTTTTATGCGCTTCTTCACGTCCTCCTCCATGCCCGTCACCCTGGGAGCACGGGGAAAACGGCAATCAGCGCACACAGAGCACAGAGCAGGGATCAGCGAGCAAGCAGCAGGCCGTGAGAAACAGATGGTGGGGAATGAGCCTATGAGCGGTGAAGGAAACGGAAAAGATGGTGGGGAATGAGCCTTCACCTGGCAAGAAAGGCCTTACCCGGACAGGTATTACCTGGACAAGTGTTATTTGGAGAGGCGTTACATCAACAGGCGTTACCTGAATGGGCCTTATTTGGCCATGCACTACCTGAACACGCGTCACCTGGGCGAATGTCACCTGGGAAAGCATCACCTGGGCGAATGTCATTTGGGAAAGCATTACCTGGGCAGGCGTCACCAGGGCAGGTGTTACCTGGCGAGCCAGTCGGCGTGCAGGTCTTTGAAGTCCTCCCCCAGGCGGTCGGACGGCTGCCCCGTCACGATCTTGTACCCGCACAGCGCATTCGTGGCGTTGGGCGTCTGTGGGCAGGGAGGGTGGTGTGGCAGGGCGGCAGGGAGGGAAGGCAGGAAGGCGGGGAGGCAGGGAGGGAAGGCAGGGAGGCGGGAGGGCGGGAAAGGAAGGTAGGGAGGCAGGGAGGGGAGGAGGAGGTAGGGGGGCAGGAAGGCAGGGAGGGCATTGACAAGATGGGATTGTGTGTCAACCAATGTGGCAGACACATGCGCATCCATGCATGCTGTCAGCGAGTGCATGCAGACACATGCGCATCCATGCGTGCTGCCAGCGAGTGCATGCAGACAAAGCCAAGGGATGGCATCGTAGATGCATACCATTCCCAACCCATGCATTTCACTCACAGGCTGCTCATATGCAAGGCATCAATGCCGCTCAGGCGAGGTAGTGGCGCTTTCTAACAAGCACAAGGTGGTTGAGAGTGAGAGCAGCACCTTGTGCGCGAGCTGGTTGAACGTGAAGAGCAGCGCCTCCAGCGCCGTCACGTCCACATCTGCGCCCTTCTTTGCCATGTAGTCCTGCCACGCCGGGGACAGGTGGTGCATTGCATTGTGGGGGAAAGAGAAAGAAAGTGACTCCCCCGAGAGCTGCTTGGGTGGAAGTGGGCGTTGCAAGGAGCAGCAGCGCCCCGGACTGAAGGCGCGCGCTCACCTTGAGCAACTCAGTGACCCCTGGCAGCAGTACCCTGAGCCCTGACCCCTGCAGCTGAGACAGCACGCACTTGTGTTGAGCAACGGATTGGATTCACACCTTGAGCAGGTCGGTGACCCCTGGCAGCAGGTGTCTGGAGTCGGCTGGCGATGTGAATGGCGACGCCTCCGCCATGCTCCTCAGCAGCTCGCCCCTCCTGTCCTCCGCCACCTGCCGCGCATCATATGGGGGCATTATGGCGTGATGGTATGATGGGTAGGATGGGCATGGTGGCATGATGGCATGGTGGCATGATGGGCATGGTGGCATGAGGGCATGGTGGCATGATCGGCATGGTGGCATGATGGGCGTGGTGGCATGATGGGCATGGTGGCATGATGGGCATGGTGGCATGATGGGATGGTGGCATGATGGGCATGGTGGCATGATGGGCATGGTGGCATGATGGACATGGTGGCATGATGGGCATGGTGGCATGATGGGCATGGTGGCATGATGGGCATGGTGGCATGATGGCATGGTGGCATGATGGGCATGGTGGCATGATGGGCATGGTGGCATGATGGCATGGTGGCATGATGGGCATGGTGGCATGATGGGCATGGTGGCATGATGGGCATGGTGGCATGATGGGCATGGTGGCATGATAGGCATGGTGGCATGATGGGCATGGTGGCATGATGGGCATGGTGGCATGAGGGCATGGTGGCATGATGGGCATGGTGGCATGATGGGCATGGTGGCATGATGGGCATGGTGGCATGATGGGCATGGTGGCATGATGGGCATGGTGGTATGATGGGAGAGAGCTGTGTGCAGGGGGACAGTGAGGGCGCAGGGCACAGTGCAACTCGTGCCGCAGTGATGCACAGCCATGCCTTTGAGCAACAATGGTTTCGGCCTACGACATGTGGGTGCCATGTCCAAGGCGGGAGGGGCAGGCAGAGCAGTACCTTATCGAAGGCGGGGAGGATGTGCTTGGCGATGAAGTTGAAGAACTTGCTGTTGGACCCGCCCCTCTGCATCCAGAGGGGTGCCCGGGTGTGCAAATGGATGTGGTAGCAGATTGAACGGCATTGTCAGTGGTTAAAAAAAAAGTGGATACTGGAGGAGAGGCGGAAAAGAAGTTGAATGTCGAGTAAAGGAGATAAATACAGGTGATGCGAGAGGAGGATGAGGATGGCTGGCTTGGATTGGAACGTGGACGAACGGGGTGAGGAATAAGGAGTGAGGAATGCAGCGGGATGAAATCCATGACGGTTACAGGATCAGCGAGGGTAGATTCTTTGGATGCGGTGGAAAGGTGGATGGCAATGTGACGCTCACATGGCGGGGGATATGCATGGCGCACACAGGAGCAGGGGCAGCATGGGCTGCACGGGCAGTGGGAGGGAGGGGAGAGTGGCAGGTAGGTAGCAGGGAACTCACAGCGAAGAAGGGCAGCGCCATCTGCAGGCACGCCATGACCCGCTCTATGTGATCCGTGTCTGATGCCTGCACACGGGGTGTGGTGCGGTGGGATGGGATGGGATGGGATGGGATGGGATGGGATGGGATGGGATGGGATGGGATGGGATGGGATGGGATGGGATGGGATGAGATGGGATGGGATGGGATGGGATGGCATGGGATGGGATCGGACGGGATGGAATGGGATGGATGGGGCGCAGTGCCATGCCCACTGCACTAGACCAAGCTGCCACAAGAAGACTTGGCGGACTAATGCTGACGAGGCAGGCTGTACAAACACAATCTCAGCGCTTCTGGGGAAGGCAGAACGAGCAGGTCCGCTGGACGAGGGAGGAATCACCACCACAAGGCGAGCGACGGCCAGAGAAGGCGAGAGAGAGGGAGGGCCAGAGAAGGCGAGAGAGAGGGAGGGCCAGAGAAGGCGAGAGAGAGGGAGGGCCAGAGAAGGCGAGAGAGAGGGAGGGCCAGAGAAGGCGAGAGAGAGGGAGGGCCAGAGAAGGCGAGAGAGAGGGAGGGCCAGAGAAGGCGAGAGAGAGGGAGGGCCAGAGAAGGCGAGAGAGAGGGAGGGCCAGAGAAGGCGAGAGAGAGGGAGGGCCAGAGAAGGCGAGAGAGAGGGAGGGCCAGAGAAGGCGAGAGAGAGGGAGGGCCAGAGAAGGCGAGAGAGAGGGAGGGCCAGAGAAGGCGAGAGAGAGGGAGGGCCAGAGAAGGCGAGAGAGAGGGAGGGCCAGAGAAGGCGAGAGAGAGGGAGGGCCAGAGAAGGCGAGAGAGAGGGAGGGCCAGAGAAGGCGAGAGAGAGGGAGGGCCAGAGAAGGCGAGCGAGAGGGAGGGCCAGAGAAGGCGAGCGAGAGGGAGGGCCAGAGAAGGAAGGCGAGCACGGGAGGGCGAGAGAGGGGTGCAGGGGGTGTGAGTGTGAGTGTGGTGACTGACATCAAAGGACGCGAGGAGGTCGGCCTGCCCCTCCACGATCTCCACCAGCTCCTGCATGCGCTCTGGCGGTGCCTTGGCGCCAAACAGCGCCAGCCCCTGCAGGAACGCCATGAACATCGCGAACTCCTCCCCCGTCACGTCTTGTATGCCCTGCCACGCCACACCCGGGGGATACAGTGGGGTACGATGGGATGCGGTCGGATATGGTGGGATGAGATGGGATACGTCAAGCAGTCAGCATGCAGCAGTGGAAAGTGGCAGAAAGTGCCCCACATGATTGTGGGTCGGCACCAAGGCCTTGCCTTGGATGACGGGAGAGGAGATTATTGCCCACATTTACTAAAATAAGTGTCCTTCATACCTTGGTTATTCACGCGTCTCTCTCACCTTGATCACCTCTCTCTCTCACCTTGATCATCTCTCTCTCTCTCTCTCTCTCACCTTGATCATCTCTCTCTCTCACCTTGATCATCTCTCTCCCTCACCTTGATCACCTCTCTCTCTCACCTTAATCACCTCTCTCTCTCACCTTGATCAACTCACTCTCTCACCTTGATCACCTCTCTCTCTCTCTCTCTCTCACCTTGATCACCTCTCTCTCTCTCACCTTGATCATCTCTCTCTCTCACCTTGATCATCTCTCTCTCTCACCTTGATCATCTCTCTCTCTCTCACCTTGATCACCTCTCTCTCTCACCTTGATCAGCTTTCTCTCTTACCTTGATCAGCTCTCTCTCTCACTTTGATCACCTCTCTCTCTCACCTTGATCACCTCTCTCTCTCACCTTGATCACCTACCTCTCTCACCTTGATCAGCTCTCTCTCTCACCTTGATCACCTCTCTCTCTCACCTTGATCACCTCTCTCTCTCTCTCTCTCACCTTGATCACCTCTCTCTCACACCTTGATCACCTCTCTCTCTCTCACCTTGATCACCTCTCTCTCTTACCTTGATCACCTCTCTCTCTCTCACCTTAATCACCTCTCTATCTCACCTTGATCACCTCTCTCTCTCTCACCTTGATCACCTCTCTCTCTTACCTTGATCACCTCTCTCTCTCTCACCTTAATCACCTCTCTATCTCACCTTGATCACCTCTCTCTCTCACCTTGATCAGGTCAGTCACGTGTCGCTCCATCTCCGCCTGAGGCACCAGGACGCTCGCCTTGTTCGGAAACACCTGCCACGCCATGGTGCCATGTGGGGGGCGGGACAGGTTAGACTCGTCACCATGATGTCGCGCCACGAGAAAGAATATCAGGTCATGGTTTTCAAGTGGCACGAGCGCAAGGACATCTGTTGAGAAGCGTTAGAAGCAGCGGCACACCTTGGCTCGGATGAAGGACAGCACGTTCTCCCTCAGCTTGTCCTCGGAGCTCTCTATGTGCTTGAATATGGCCGCCAGACTCCCTGCCACGCCATAAAAAAACATTGGTCAGGGACTCAGCGAATGACACGAGCAGTTACGAATGACACGAGCAGTTACGAATGACACGGCTGAGATGGCGTTCCTGAGATGGGGCCCCATTCGGCCCCATCCGACGTGGCCCCAAGCAACAGTGCACGAAACACGTGCCTGTGGCATGGCAGCAAGGTGGGGGGTGAATGTGGACGTCGCATGAGTGGGCAGCTGAGGGTCGTGCGAAATTGCCTCACGTTAACTTTCCTTGCCTCCGAACGTCAGAACGAGTCAAGCTAGACTGTCGCGTAACCAAAAAAAATGAAAATCATCTATAGGTTCCCACCCAGTGTGTTCTCGACCATGGGAGTATGTGGCTGTCTGAACGACAGCCGTTTTTTACTGTCACGGAACCCAGTCGTGACTGGATTGGAATCGGAGCACACTTGCGAGACTAGGTTGGAACGTTTAAACTTGTCGCATGAACGTTAATACAAAAGCATGTGATTCGTTGATCCAAATCTTTCATGGTTTTCGCCCCAGGCGACTCCCGTCGCCAGGCAGTTGTGGTGGTGTGACCAGAATCAAATTCTGCCACGGTGGACCAATGTTGTTGCACCGACCATGGCAATTGATGGGGCCCCATCTCAGGAACGCCATCTGAGATGAGTGCAACTATGGCATGGTGGCATGGAAATCACGAGTTATGGCAAGAAAGCGGATTCACCTTTGGGGTCCTGCCGGAGCACCTGCATCAACGAGTTCTGCACCACTCCATGCTCCGGCTCCTCTGCCACACAACACACACACATACCCACGCACATTCACACACGTTAGGAACTCGTTCATAAGAAAAAATATCCTTCTAAGTTGCTGCCTGATGCGTCTACACATGGACGTGCAATTAACTATCGCCCTATCTCCAATGCACATTCGCCGTACCTCCAATGAGAAGTTGGCCGAGCACGTCAGCAATTTTCGGGAGATGCTCCGGTGTGTCCTTGCAGAGAAACGGGAGCCCTCGAATCGCAGGTAGTCGAATCTGACCAGAGCAACGGGAATCGGCATCCGGGGATAGTTACAACTCATTCCACTGCCGTACGCAGCGTCGCCTCCAGCTATTATTGAGCGACCAGGGTAGTATGCTATCAGCGTCGGCAAAGCACGTCGCAAAAACACGCTATCCCGCGCATTTACGCTTTATTCAATTCATTGCTGTCGGCATCTACACATTGCTGTCGTCATCCTTACATTGATGTCGTCATCCTCGCAGAGATCTAGCTGCGCGTTAATGCCTTCGGCGGACAGCTGCGGAAAGAATTTGAAGAAGCGAGGAATCTGCTGCGCTGCGAACAGCTTCGCCTTGCTGCTCCCCGTCGCTGCCGCGATGACCCCGAGGTAGTCCTTTTCGTTCTGCAAGCCACAACCATGGCGGGCGTCAGAATAGGTCGTCCTGACAGAGGAACGCTGTTTCCTTTTTCGAAATGCTAACCTGCGACTTGTCCTTCGAGCTCGCTAGTTTCTCCCCGTGTTCGTAAAGCTTCTCGATATCATCGCTCGCTGTGGCCATATCTAGACGGAGAGTCGAATACTGCTGCCCTGATCTGCACAAATAATGCGTGACGAGGAGTGCTGATCAGCCTGTGCGCTAGTGGAAATGGCCGACCAGGAAAACGAGTGAAAATACGAGACTCCCAAGCCGTCAGAGCAATTTAGGTCACATTCTGAAATCGGCAAAAAAACCTAGCGATCGAAATTAGCAACCATACCCAGCAGAAGTGTACGGTAACTGGTAACCATCACGACTTTCTTCGCACATCTTTTACCAACGTACTCGGCATCTGGCATTTTTATTGACGGCGAGAAGCAGCTTCCGGCCTGCGGGCGGGGTTGTTCAACGGCTCCGCGTCAATTCATACGGATGTGTCAGTGGCGGGCTGACCGTGTGGCGGTGGGCGGGAAGAGCGCCCTTGGGATTGGTTGGTTGCCTGGCTGGTTGGGGAAAAACCAAGGGAGGTGCCGTGTGCCCCGAGTGTTCCTCCGCTCCCCCCGCCCAACGTCCAACCCGCGGCGAATTGCTTGCCCGACTCCCCCCTCCTCCAAACAAACGCCCAAGCCCACCTTGAACTTGTCGCGCGCGCGGAACTTCTCTCCGCTCGACTTTGCCCCCGCTTATTTAAACTGCTGGCCGTCTGCTTAGCCAAAAGTACTACACCACTCCACCGCACCAACGAGTAGCCCACACATCACATCAACTCAAGCTGCGAGCCAGAGTGGTCAACAACACATCACAGAGCACAGCAGCATTCCCGTCCCGATACTGCCGAACACATTTCGCGCGCGCTGGGCATCAATTTTGGACATTGCCGACTTACTCCTCTCGTCTCATCATCCGCAGATCGCGCTCGTCAAAGTTTTCTGTATGCAGTATACTCACGCACTTGCCATTCGGTCGCTAACTCGATGACAAGGCTATGCGAAGTGAGTGCGCCGTGCCCGTTCGTGCTATAACGAGGATAGTCGACGCATCGTTGTAGGCCATGGGTCTGTGGGACCCCATATTATCACGGCCGTCGCCCGATATAACCGCGTCTTACGAGTTCTTAGAGGAGATCGGCCATGGAGGCTCGTCCGTGGTGCGCGTGTGCCGGCATCGCGCCACGGGCGAGAGGTTCGCGTGCAAGAGCATTCTCAAGGACAACCTTCGCTGCGCCGCTGACGTGGCAGACGTTCGAAGAGAAATCGAGGTGCGGAAACCCAAAATTCCCTGCATTTTCTCCCGCGGCCCGTCATGCTGGTCTTGTCAAGCAACGGCTTTCTCCTGACAGTAGCGGCGTATGCAGCACAATCAAGCAGGTCATCATCCGGACTGGCAAAGCACCTGCTTGTCGATCACCCCTGACGCTCACGTCGACATGAACGCCCGTCCCTCCTGGCCATATTGTTACCATTGTAACTCCTCCATTCCCCCCCTCTCCCTCCCCATTTTCCCCCACCCACCCAAACTCCACCTCCCCACCCTCTTCCCCCCTTTGCCGGGCAGGTGTTGGAGCAGCTGGGGCACCACGCGCATATCGTGCAGCTGCACGCCACCTTCGAGGACATCTCAGCCGTCCATCTCGTCATGCAGCTCTGCCACGGCGGCGAGCTCTTCCACGAGATCGTGCGCCGCGAGCGCTTCTCCGAGGCGGACGCCGCCGTCGTCTTCCGCCAGCTGGCGGAGGCGGTGGCGTTCTGCCACGCGCGCGGCGTGCTGCACCGCGACCTCAAGCCCGAGAACATCCTGCTGCTGCACCCCGTGGCGGAGGGGGAGGGGGGAGGCGGGGCGGAGGCGGGAGATGGGGGTGCGGGGGAGCGGGGCAATGCGGCGGTGGCGGCGGTGGAGGATTGGAAGCCGCGGGAGCAGGCAGACGAGGAGGGGAACGACGGCGGGCTGTCGCCTCTAGAGCAGAACTGGCCGGGGTCGTCCGTCACCCCTCCTAACCACTCCCCACACCTCTCTCAATCCAGCACGCCTCCTCTCGGCAATCTGCTCCGCCACTCCTCGCTCCCCTCCCCTTCCTCCTCCGCCTTCCCCACCTCCCCCCTCCACTATCTTCCCACCATTGCAGATCCCGCCACAACCCCTCCAACGTCCCCTCCCCATTCCGCCTCCGCCTCCGCCTGTCCGCCCTCCCCCTCGCCTCCGCCCCCCCCGCTGCACGTGAAGCTGGCGGATTTCGGGTTGGCGCTGCACCTGGGGCCGGGGGAGCGCGCGCAGGGCTTCGCGGGGAGCCCCTTCTACGTCGCGCCAGAGGTGCTGGCACGGCGGTCCTACGACACGTCAGCAGACATGTGGAGTCTGGGCGTGGTACTGTACTCGTTATTAGCAGGCGACCTGCCGTTCGTGGGGGACACAGAGAAGAAGGTGTTCCGCGCCATCACCAAGGGGCGCCTCAACCTGCAGGCGCCCCCCTGGCCGTCCGTCTCCGCGCCCGCCAAGGCGCTCATCCGCCGCCTGCTCGACCCCACCCCCGCCTCGCGCCTCTCCGCGCCCCTCCTGCTGCAGCACCCCTGGCTCGCGCACACGCCCCTGCCCACTGCGCCCGCGCTGCCTGTGCCGCAGCCTGTGGGCGCGCGCGAGGGGGAAGCGGCGCCCATGGGCGCGAGCCCAGGGAGACCAGGGGCGGACTGGAGTGACGAGCGCGCTAGCAGGGCAGGCGGGGCAGCGCGGCCAGCGAGTGCGGGAGGGCGCGTGGCAGCGCTGCAGGTCCCGGACCCACACCGCCCCGCGCCTCATGCCGCGCCCCAGTCGCCGCGCACGCCCTCCCCCCGCCGCGCCCCCCCACCCGTGTCCGCTGCTCGTTCTGCCGCGTCTGCTGCTGCCTCCGCGCTGAGGAAGGCCGCCAGGCACGCCATGTCAGGTGGCGCTGCGGGCGCGGAGGGGGAGAGCGAGGGGCCAGGGGATGGCGCAGGGGAGGCCAGCGGTCTGCACAGTGGGACGGGTGGGGGGACGAGTGGGGCCGCAGGGGCGGGAAGGACAGGCGGCAGTGCGGGGAGGACAGGCGGCAGTGCGGGCAACACGCCAAACAGTGCGGTGCGGAGCCTGGCAGCGGCGTTTGGGAGGAGCCCGGGGGCCAAGACAGAGAGCGCCAAGGCAGAGGGGGGGAAGAGCGGGGCAGGGCAGTCGGGGGGGGTGGGCAGCGGCACCAAGCGCATTGTGAAGGCGCTGTTCCGCTCGCTCTCCTCCCTCGCCTCCGACTACCGCCGCGGCCGCCTCTCCTCGCTGGGGCTGGGCGGGGGCACTGCAGGCGCGGAGGGGGAGGGCGGGGGGAAGAAGGCGGGCGCTTGGGGTGACTGGGGCAGCGCGAGTGGCAGTGGCGGGGCGAGTGGGGCGAAAGGGGGGAGTAAGGGGTCCGGGGTGAGCAGAGCGAAGGAGTGGAGCAGCGGTGCAGATGCACGCGTGCCAGGGCGAGCCAGCTTTAGCAGCAGCAGCAGCAGCGCATGGGATGGCAACAGCAGGGGGAACGGCAGCAGCGTCGAGAAAGGCAGTGGCAGCAATCATAAGCACGTTCCCCATCCGCAGCGCGAGGGTGTGAGTGCTGGCTCAAGCGACGCGAGTGGCGGTACAAGCAGCAGCACATTTGGTGGCAGTGCTAGCGATGGCAACACCAGTGGTGGCAGCACGAGTGTGAAGGCTGTTGGTGAAGTGCAGAGCACAGCGGGCAGCAGAGGCAGTGGCAGCGCTAACACAGCTGCCCTGCGATCGCCTGTCCTTTGTGCGACCTCTCCTGCCTCTGTGGAATCTCCCCCCCTTGCTCCCATGCATGCCGCCCCACATGCCACAGCACATGCTGCAGCACCTGCCATGTGCCATGATGCCCATGTCCCCACGGATCCTGTCGCCACCATTCATCCTCGCAACGATTGCCCTCATGCTGTTGCTGGCACTGCTGCCGATGCCAATCCCAGTGCTGGTGCTGCTGCTGCTGCTGCTACGGACAATGTTGCTGCTGTGGCAAGTCAAGGAGCAGTAGATGGTGCCGCAGAAACAGCAGCAGCAGCAGACGAGTCACAGATAGAGTGTGGCGGAGTGGAAGCAGCAGCAGTGCAGGTTGCAGCAGGGGTGGGAGAGAGCGCCTTGCAGGAGGGAGCAACGGCGTGCGAGGTGGTGCCAAGCGGCAGAGAGGATGGGAGCAGTGTGGCACTGGCAGGAGGGACGAGTGAAGCACAGGGGGATGCGAAAGGCGGCAGTGGCAGCAGTGACAGGATTGGCAGCATAGCAGGCACAGAATCTTGCAGTACAAAGGCAGCTCATAGCACAATGCCTAAACCCAAAGCCGCATCCACACCCACACCCGTGCCCACGCCGAGTCCCACTTCCGAACCCACACCCACGCCATGTGCTGCTTCTGTGGCTGGTGGTGTTCAGCAGACTGCTGGCGAGCAGTCGGCTGAGCAGAGCAAGGAGGGCGGAGAGCGAGTGAAGGATGGCAGTGTGAGCAGCGAGGTGCAGACAGAGAGAGAGGGTACGGTAGGCGGTGCAGGCAGCGCAGCAGAGAGCGGAGGGGAGTCCGCCCCCATAGGAGTGGAGGCGTGCTTAGGGGACAGCACATCGGTCCCTCCAGACCCGTTGAGAGTGAGTGTACCAGTGCCAGATGGCACTGCTGATGCAAGCACTGCTGTAGCAGGCAGTGCTGTAGCAGGCAGTGCTGTAGCAGGCAGTGCTGTAGCAGGCAGTGCTGTAGCTGGCAGCAGTGCAGCTTTGAAGCCGGTAACAGCAGCAGTGGCTGTGGTTCCCCCAGGGGTGTCGTGTCTGGGGGATGCAGAGCCGAGCCTGAAGCTGCTGCTGCAGCCACTGCGCCTGTCCCCTCGCCGCTCCATGCGCCGCTCCCTCAGCAGCAGCAGCAGTAGCAGCAGCCAGAATGGCGAGGTGGGCAAGGAGAGGAGGGGCGCGCTGATGGATGGGCAGGGGCAGGAGAATGTTGGAGGCGGGGGCGGGTCAGAGCAGGTGGTGCAGGCGTGTGCACCAGCACCGTTCAAGTGGCGGCCACTCAAGGGCAGTCTGAGCGGCAGGCTGGGGTCTGGCAGGGCTGCTGCGAACGTGGCTCCACAGCTCCACAACTGACGGGGGGTAGGCTGCTGTTGAATGCTCCCGCGCTGGCAGGCTGTATGCCGGTGCAGCGAGCAGATGCGGAGGGGGGTTTGGGCGGTTGGGGAGACAGCAGCGCATCGAACAAGCGTGCAGCGATGTAGTTATTGAGGCCCCAGGTCCATGATGTCTATTCATGGAGGTATGGTTTTCTGGAGGGCAGGCATGCCATTACTGGCCGCATATGTGTGCTATGCAGCACATGAGCGTGTGCATGCGTGCAGGCAGGCAGCAGTTTAGCAGGAAAGAAGGCATGCTTGCCCAAGATCAACGGGCAACCCTTTTAGGAGGTTGCTTGCTACATTTGTAACGGATGTTACCCTGCAATTGTTAGTCAAATCACTTGACTAGGTACTAATTTATTATCGTCACTGCATGCATCGTGGTCGTTTTGGCATCTGAATATTATGAAATGGATAAGAGAAGGTCACACATTTTGATGGATTAGTTGTTCATTCATTACTGTAGACAGAGCCAGACTTACACTGACGCTCACTAATGTATAGAAGTATTTATACTAAACATATATCCGTTGCCTCCTGAAAATACATGAAACGAAGCACGTCGGAACTCGTTAGGGCGTACGCCTCTGCAAACTCCTAACCCCAAACTCTGCTCAACCCTAAATCAGCCTTGTCACTTCGCATTCACACTTCTATTCCCCACCAAGTCGGCATGACCTGCCGTATGGAACCCTCGCCGTCCCCTCTGCCGGCAGCAGACCCGCTAGCCGTTGTGGCAGGCGGCATTGACGCGGGCGGCGAGTCGGCCGCGCCGCTGTCAGCGGCGTCGCAGCAGCTGCTGCTCGACACGCTCTCGCGCCTCCACGCGGACGACTCCGCGCAGCCTTCCGCTGCCGCCGCCGAGGGAGATGACGTGGAGGACGATGATTGGGCGGAAGAGGATGGCGAAGTGGAAGAAGAGGTGCTGGATGCGCTCGATTGGCTGGACCTGAGAGAAGGTAGCTGATTGGTTAAATTAACGAAAGATGTAGCTTATTGGCTGGGTCTGCGAGAAAGCAGCATCGAACGTCGTTTGGCGCTGAAAGCGTGCACGCGGGCGGTGCTGTTCGCCGCCATCCCGTTGCGCGGACCGCTGAATTCGCGCACAAGTCACCTCGATATCATCATGTGAACCCCCCTACCCCGCTCTTCCCAACCCTCCCCATCCTTCCACCCGCCCACTCTTCCCCACTCCTCCTTCCTCGTCCGCGTCCTCACAGATCTCGCGTCGCGAGGCAACACTGGTGGCGGTGCGTTCGGCGGCGGATTTTCTGCGGCGCGGCGGCCGAACGCCTTCGGGGGGCAACTAAACCAGGCACACGCAAACGCGCGCGCGGCGGCGTTTGGGGCCGCGGGGAAGGGCAGCGGAGGGGGAGCAGGAGTGGGGGCCGCGGCGGGGGCGATGCAGCCGCGGGTGAACAAGCAGCAGCGGCTGACTGCGCGAGTCAACGCCGCGCCCATGCGGGTGAGGGGCTTGTGACTTGTGCTTCAGGGGTTGGGGTTTTGCATCGAGGTTCAGGGTTGAAGTGTGAGGGTGTAGGTTGATGCTTTAAATGGGTTGAGCGTTTAGATGGGAGATTCGGTCGTGGATGCTCATGCTGCTGCAGTGATCGGCTTCACACTCTACAATTCACCTCCTTGTTTGTAATGCTTGCTGACGTGGCAGGATTGGGGTGACAGCTGTCAGCCGAACATGGCAAATGTGGTGATGACAGCTGTGCGCGACACTAACAAGCGGCAGGAGCAGGGCCAGTCGCGGTTGAAGGAGAAGGCTGACCGTGCCACCGTGGAGCAGGTGACTCTAAAGGGGGATCGGGGACATGGGAAACAACATATACCTCTTATGTTTTCCTTTCACTCTCTTCCTGGCTCTCTTACAGCCCCTTCCACCCCTCCAAGCATCCCCCAGTATCCTGCTTCCCTCCCACCACCTGTTCTCACCGCATCGCCCTTGACCATGCTGCCCACTCCCTGCCCTGCTCCTCGCATCTCACTCCTCACCTCCTCTCGTACCATAAGATTGGCCAAACCCCTTCTTCCTTTCATGATTCATCCCCAACAAACAACCCATTTTTCCTCTCCCCTTCCCCGCCCCTCTCCCCCCACATGACCTTCCCCTCCCCCTTCTCCTGACCCCGTGCAGGTGCTGGATCCGCGCACGCGCATGGTGCTGTTCAAGATGCTCAACCGCGGCGTCTTCTCCCAGATCAATGGCTGCCTCTCCACCGGCAAAGAGGTGAACCGCATTCACCATCACCATCACTCCCTATCCACCCTTGTTCTCAATGCCCACCCCTTCACCCACCTGGTCTGCCCCTCTATCCCCCTACCCTCGGGCACGCCTCACCCCATGCGCCAACTTTGCTCCCCCATGAACCACCGCGCCCTCCTGTCCAGCGAATGTATACCACGCCACTGCTATCATGCCACGCCACTGCTATCATGCCACGCCACTGCTATCATGCCACGCCACTGCTATCATGCCACGCCACTGCTATCATGCCACGCCACTGCTATCATGCCACGCCACTGCTATCATGCCACGCCACTGCTATCATGTCACGCCACTGCTATCATGTCACGCCACTGCTATCATGCCACGCCACTGCTATCATGCCACGCCACTGCTATCATGCCACGCCACTGCTATCATGCCACGCCACTGCTATCATGCCACGCCACTGCTATCATGCCACGCCACTGCTATCATGCCACGCCACTGCTATCATGTCACGCCACTGCTATCATGTCACGCCACTGCTATCATGTCACGCCACTGCTATCATGCCACGCCACTGCTATCATGCCACGCCACTGCTATCATGCCACGCCACTGCTATCATGCCACGCCACTGCTATCATGCCACGCCACTGCTATCATGTCACGCCACTGCTATCATGTCACGCCACTGCTATCATGTCACGCCACTGCTATCATGTCACGCCACTGCTATCATGTCACGCCACTGCTATCATGCCACGCCACTGCTATCATGCCACGCCTCATGCTTCCCCCGTGGCTCCTCTCGCCCGTGGCTGCTCTCCCACCCCCCCAGGCGAACGTGTACCATGCCACGGTGGACCGCCCCTCTGCGCTGCACATGCCCGCTGCACTGGGGATTGGGGGGAATAGGGAGGGGGCGGGCGTGCAGCAGGGGGGCGAGGGGCAGCTGGTGAAGGAGCTGGCAGTGAAGGAGCTGGCAGTGAAGGTGTACAAGACGTCCATCCTGGTCTTCAAGTGAGTGACTCATGTGCTGCGCCCTCATGTGCCACTATGCCGCTGTTGCCATTCACTCTTGCACTCCCTCTCCTGCACTTGCTCTCTTACCGCCATTGCCCCCTCCGACCCCCCCCACACACACACCCATCCCACGGTGGTGCGGGGCAGGGACCGCGAGCGGTACGTGGCGGGGGACTACCGGTTCCGGCACGGGTACAGCAAGCACAACCCGCGCAAGATGGTCAAGGTGTGGGCCGAGAAGGAGTTCCGCAACCTCAACCGGTACACTCCCCCTCTCCCACCTCTCTTCCTCGCTCCGCTGCCTTGCTCACTCCTCCTTGTATTCTGGCGCAGCGCGTCTTGAATAGCCGCACAAGCCAACTGCACGGTGCATCCATCGCCCCATGCTGCCCACCTAACGCTCTCCACGCCCTGCCACCCGCGTGTCAGTGCCGGCCGGGTGTCTGGTTGACTGCATGGGCCTTTAATTCCATTGCGGCGGCACTGTGTGTCGATGAGCGCAACACGTCCCGAATCCCCCTCTCAAGTCCCTCTGGCACATGCCACTCCACATTCCTACTGCTAACGCCTTCCTGTCCTTGCCTCTTGGTGCCGGCCGTGTGTCAGGTTGCGGGCGGCAGGAGTGACGTGTCCCGTGCCGCTCATGCTGCGCATGCATGTGCTCGTCATGTCCTTCATCGGTGCGTGTGAAAGCTAATTGCTGCTCTTGCGTCTGCCACTGCTTGCCAGTCGCCCTCCTGCAGCAGTTTTCTTCCTGTTTTTTACACCAACTAGGAGTTCCTTTTCTAGAATTGTAATGCGCTTTTGGCTATGGCATGGCACGGCACGGCAGGCACGGAGGGGTGGGGAGCCCCTCGGTTGAAGGACGTGCAGCTGTCGGAGGGGCGGTGGAGGGAGTGCTACGGGCAGGTGCTGGTGGCGATGTGGCGCATGTACCGCCTCTGCCGCCTCGTGCACGGCGACCTCAGTGAATACAACCTGCTCTACCTCCAGGTGCGACCTCAGTGAATACAACCTGCTCTACCTCCAGGTGCTACCTCAGTGAATACAACCTGCTCTACCTCCAGGTGCGACCTCAGTGAATACAGCCTGCTCTACCTCCAGGTGCGACCTCAGTGAATACAACCTGCTCTACCTCCAGGTGCGACCTCAGTGAATACAACCTGCTCTACCTCCAGGTGCGACCTCAGTGAATACAACCTGCTCTACCTCCAGGTGCGACCTCAGTGAATACAACCTGCTCTACCTCCAGGTGCGACCTCAGTGAATACAACCTGCTCTACCTCCAGGTGCGACCTCAGTGAATACAACCTGCTCTACCTCCAGGTGCGACCTCAGTGAATACAACCTGCTCTACCTCCAGGTGCGACCTCAGTGAATACAACCTGCTCTACCTCCAGGTGCGACCTCAGTGAATACAACCTGCTCTACCTCCAGGTGCGACCTCAGTGAATACAACCTGCTCTACCTCCAGGTGCGACCTCAGTGAATACAACCTGCTCTACCTCCAGGTGCGACCTCAGTGAATACAACCTGCTCTACCTCCAGGTGCGACCTCAGTGAATACAACCTGCTCTACCTCCAGGTGCGACCTCAGTGAATACAACCTGCTCTACCTCCAGGTGCGACCTCAGTGAATACAACCTGCTCTACCTCCAGGTGCGACCTCAGTGAATACAACCTGCTCTACCTCCAGGTGCGACCTCAGTGAATACAACCTGCTCTACCTCCAGGTAACATATCTACTGCTATACGTCCATGACTATATACACATATGTTTTATATCTATGTTTTTATATTAATTCTATTAACATCTCCTCAACATTTGACCCCACTGTGACTGTACCAGGGGCGGGTGTGGGTGATAGACGTGTCGCAGTCGGTGGATCTGGACCATCCCCGCGCGCTCGACTTCCTCAGAGAGGACTGCCTGCACGTCACTGTGAGTGCATGTCACTGTGAGTGCATGTCACTGTGAGTGCATGTCACTGTGAGTGCATGTCACTGTGAGTGCACATGATTGCAAGTATCCACCCTTGCCATTTGCGCCCAGTGAAGTGCACAAGCCAGCAAAGTGCCACCCATGCCCGTTCTTCTGATCGCTTGTGTGATCCTCCCAATCGTCCCAAACATCCCCGCAGGATTTCTTCCGGCGAAAGGGCATGGCAGTGCTGACGGTGCGCGAGCTGTTTGACTTTGTCACGGACCCCGTCATGCCGGAGAGCCTCGTTGATGACTGCCTGCACAAGGTGGGGTGGGGTGGGGCCACTGCATGTGCTTGCATGTGTGCGCGTGTGTTTGGCTTTCTGTGTTTCCTGTTGACACCTTTTGCACTTTCATGTTTATGTTTTGTGCATGTGTCTGCCTGTACCACTGTACATCCTCATTGATCTCGCTGCATCTCTCTCCGTGTGTGCGCATGGCACGGGCAGTTGCAAGAGAGGGCAGCCAGCAGGCCGTTGGAGCAGACAGCACAGGAGGCCATCGCTGAAGCCGTCTTCCTGCAGGTCAGTCACACTGCACCTGCTGCCTTTCCACGTTTTAGCCCACCTGCTCTTCTCCTCGCTCCAGTCACCTCCCCACATCCATCCATCCAACCCTGTTCCTCTTCCCCCCTCTCCCTCCCCCCCCGCCACAGTCGTTCATACCGCAGTCGTTGGATCAGGTGAAGGACGCGGAGAAGGACATCCGCCGCATCGCCTCCGCCACCAAGGCAGCAGCGCAGCAGCACGCAGCCGCACAGCCCGGGGGGGATGCGCCCAGCAGCACGCAGCAGGGGGCGGCACAGGGTGGAGGAGGAGAGCAGGGCGCAGCAGTGGGTGCAGCGGCAGACGCAGCAGCTAGCAGCAGCAGCAGTGCAGCAGCAGCGCCGTCATCGGAGGCGCCCCCTCTGGAGGGCATCTTCTACCGCTCGCTGCTGGGGCTCAAGGAGGACCTCTCCGGCGTGCGCACCCTGCCCGACATCCTGCAGAGCGCTGAGGGGCGCGGTGTGGAGGAGGCGGGGCAAAGCGGTGGGAAGGAGTGTGAGGAGAGTCCGGGAGTAGTGAGGCCGGGAGGGGAGGGGGTGGAGGGGGGGGAGAGGAATGAGAGTGAAAGGGGCGGTGAAGGGATGGTGCCACGCGACCTGCGTGGGGGAGCAGAGGGGATGGAGGGTGGAGAGGAGCAGCAGAGCGAGGAGGGGAGTGAGGATGGGAGTGAGGAGGGAAGTGATTTCTCAGAGGATGAGGGAGGCGAGGAGGGTGGAAGGCGGGGCAGGGAGGGAGCAGTGAGCAAGGAGGAGGTGAGGGCGGCGCGCAAGGAGAACAAGAAGAAGGTGAAGGAGGAGAAGCGAGTGGCTCGTCTCACCAAGGTGCCCAAAGCTGCCAAGAAGAAAAAGCAGAAGGCAGCTCAGAGCAAGAAGCGATGAGGGAAATACATGGTAATACGGCAGCTTCATTAAGTCTCAAACGTGTGTGCGCTGTCTGTTGTGTTAATGCCTGCGGCCAATCTGTGTTAATCGTATGAAAATTGAGCAAAAAGTGTCAAGCAGCACCAGCCGTTTCACAAGCCTACTGCCGAGTGGCCAAGCCCAAGGGGGCTGCACTACTGTTACTGTATCTTTTTGCTTGGTATGTAATGATGTTTAAAACACCATGTGCCAAGGTTCTCGAACCTACCTCCCAACCAATCTCCCGCAACGGAACTCACAGGGGCATGGGAAAACGCACTGAGACTGAAACCACCCACAATTTGACAGCAGAAAGTAGCTTCTCTTCCTTTCCAGCTTGTTGGAGCAGGAAAGCCGCTCGAAAGATGGGCCCAACCCAACCACCTGTTGCTCGCTACAGGTTTCGTACGTTGGTTAGTTGCAGGGGATTGATGTGTCAGTTGTGATGGAGATGAGCGTGGTCGCTGGGGCTGCAGTCACCAGTGTTCCACTGGCCGACTCATGCTCACCACTGGGGGGACAGTGGGCCGTGCAGTGAGCAACACCCTGTGCCTCTGAGGAGGGGACACAGATCACATGCCACTGCACGCACAACTTGCAAGCTCTCGGTGAGCTTGAGTAGAATGCTCTGATCACACTGCACTGCAACAAGCGTCCAACAGGAACGTGACATGCATGAAAATAATACAATGCTTGTCTCCCAAGCACCCCAGGGCAGGCAGGGCAGTGTCCGGCCAGTTGCAGCTACATGTGAGCGAGCTCCACAGTGGCCACGTCGTTGCGCTTCACCACCCAGTCCACCACGCCAAACTCTGCGAGTGCCTCCCGGCTGTTGGCCTGCGACACCACCACCACCGTGCGCTGCGGTAGCGACCGCAGCACCGCTGCCACCGCCGCCACGCCCTCGTCGTCCAGATGCTGTTGGCCGGGGAGGATGAAAGAGCAGGAGAGTGAAAAACGTTGATGAAACATGTAGGAGTGTACCCCGTGTGCGGGGAAATGTTGCGTCATCCATGGACGAAAGAGAGTGGAACAGGAGTAAAGTGGGGAGCAGGAAAAGGAGCAGAGGGAGGGCGAGGGGAGGAAGAGGGGGAGTGGTGGCGGAAGGGAGCAGCGGCGTGCCTGGAAGACCTCGTCCAGCACCAGCAGGTCGTAGCGCACGCCGCTGCGCTCCGCCGCCAGCTCAGCAAACGCCAGCGCCAGGGCCAGCGCCACACGGCGCCGCTCCCCCCCGCTGAGCTGGCGCAGCGCCCGCGGGACGAGCTCCCCTGAGGCCAGGCGCACGCGCACACTCTTGTCTATCCTCTCCAACACCTGCCCCTCCCCCCCGCTGCCATTTCCCGCCTCCTCTGCTGCCCCCTCCTCGTCCCCCTCTCCCCTTTCACTTCCCCCACTGTCGCTCGACGCTTCCGAGTCTGTGCTGCTATCCGCCACCCCGCTCTTCCCCGCCCCACTGGCCTTCTTTGTCTTCTTCCCCCGGGCGGCCTTGGTGGCAGTGGCGGCGGCGCGGGTGGGCGAGAGGTGCAGGAGCAGCGCGCCCCCTGAGAGTGCAGCGAGGTAGCGGGCCACATGGGCGTCCAGCTCCCACAGGGCGCCCTCCAACACAAAGCTCTGCGGGAAAAGGGGGGGAGGAAAGGAAAGGGAGGGGGTGTGGGAGTGGGTGGGAGTGGGAAGGGAAGGGGGAATTGCGGGCTGGTATCATTAGAATCTAAAACCAGCACCTCCGCACCCTCCACCCCACCCCACCCCACCCCACCCAACCCCACCTGCACGCCAGCGAGGCCAAAGGCGGCGTCCACTTGCTTCATCACGCCCAGCTGCGCCTCCCCCGCATCCACCTCCCCCTCCACCGCCTCCACCTCCCCCCGTGCCTCCCCCAGCATCTCCACCAGCCGCCGCCGCTCCCCGTCATGCGGGTTGCCCTCTGCCTGCCCGCACTCCGCCTCCCGCCGCCACCTCTCCACCTCCGCCTCCGCCGCCTGTGCATCCGCCACCGCTGTGGCCGCCTCGCGGATCACCGCCGCCACCACCTCCTGCCGCCACGCCCCCCCGCCCTCACCATCCACGCCTGGGCCCGTGGTGGGGGTAGAGGCGGGGGGCAGTGGTGGTGTGGCGGGCAGGCGGGCGGAGTGGCAGTGCAGGAAGAGCAGCAGCGAGTCGAGGGCCTGCGAGGCCGCTGCTGTGTAGCGCTGCACTGCCTTCAGCTGGGGGGGGGGAGGGGAGAGGGACAAAGGAGGGGGGGGGTGGGAAGATGGGGCGGAGATGGTGCAGAGAGATGAAGGTGGGCGGATGCCGGTATGGTGAAGGCATGGTGAGACTGAAGGAGCAGGGCGATTATTGCGCATAAGCACACAGGGCACATGCACGTGACGGTATTCACAAATCACAACTCATGAGTCATGGTGCATGTGGTGCTGTTGCCTTTGAGGGACACCCGGCCCCCACCCAGTGCGCACCTCCTCCTGCTGTGCCATAGCCGCCTGCTGCTGCTGCCTCCTCGCCTGCGCGTCCCTCTCCTCGCTCTCGCGCCTCTCCCTCTGCCGTGCCTCCAGCCATCCCCTCACGCCCACCAGCTCTTCTTGCAACACCTCCCGTGCCTGGCAGCGAGGGGACATGCATGAGAGGCACTTCACGAGTGAGGAAGAAACTGATTGAAGTCAGAGGCAGGTCCGGAAAGATGGAAGACGACCACATATAAGACGCTGGATTTGCTGTCATACGGCAGGCAACACATGACCAAGACACGGACCCCCAAGGAGAACCCACCTGCTGCTTGCCTGCCAGCTGTCGCTGCGTCTCCTCCACCTCCGCCCTGAGCTGCCTGCTGCACTCCTCCGCATGCAGCGGATCAATGGGCTGCTGACACCTGTCACACACCAGCACCTCCCCTCCCCCCACCGCCCCCCCCACATGCGCCTCAAACTCCCCCAGCCGCTGCTGCTGCTCTCTCAGCCCTGCAGTCACTGCTGACAGCTGCAGAGAAAAGGGGGAATGCGGGTCGAGGGATGGGAAATCGCAGGCACATATACCGACCAGAACTTCAAGGAAAAGCCGGTGCATGTGTGTGTGGGGGGCAAGAGGCGGTAGGCGAATGTGAGGATGCCATGCTCCCTGCATGCGAGCAGTCTTGCAAGTTCCCCACACTGCAAGCGACCACCCCTCCCCCCTCAACCCCATACATCCAACCCCTCCTTCCTCGCACCCACCTCGCCCTGCAGGGACGCGATCCCAGTCATCAGCTCTCGCTCCCTCTCCTCCATCCCCTCCTCCTCCTCGCCCCTCCCCGCCCTGCCTCCACCCACTCCCCCCATCCTAGTGCCTCTCTCTCCCTCCCCCTCCCCCTCAGAGAGGGAGGCGAGCACAGAGGAGTGCAGGGCGAGGGCGTGGGAGTGCGAGAGGGCCACGGCGGCCTGCAGGCGTGGGGCAACAAGGGACGCCAAGCGCTGACAGGCCGATGCCAGCTGCTGCTCCGCCCCCACCTGCTGCACACCCACCCGCTGCTGCCGTGCCGCCCTGGTGGTGGGCGTGTGGGTGGGGAAGGCAGGTGAGGGCAGTGAGGGGGTGAGGGAGGTGAGCGGGTGTTGTCGCTGGCGCTGGTTCGCACTGACTCATCCCACTTGAGATCACTTTCCCACATAACACGTATGCATCAGGAATGCAAGTAGCGCGATGAGGCAGGTGGTGCAGCAGGCACGGGATTGAAAGTGGTGGGAGGGTGCAGGGACTGAGAAACAAGCGTGTGGCATGGCATGGCATAGCATGGCATGGCATGGTTTGTCATGGCATGGCAAGGCAAGGCATGGCATGGCATGGCATGGCATGGCATGGCATGGCATGGCATGGCAAGGCAAGGCTCACCTGTGCGCTTCCCAGGTGTTGAAGGCACCCTCTGCGTCTTCCACCTGAAGAGGGGCCATGGGTCATGTCATGCACCCAGGGAGTGCAATGGCATGGCATGGCACAGGCACATGTGAGTGTGATGAAATCATTCAACGGCCGCGTGAGATGAGGCGTGACGAGGAGATGCGGTGCAGAACAAGCTCACTATCACTGGCTTCTCACAAGCATCAAAGCTGCACCCTCCCCCCCCCTCTCCCCGCCCCATCCACACCCACCATGCGCTCCAGCTTCTTGACGGCCTCCCTGCGCGCCGCCAGGCCGCCCCTCATCTCCCCCACGCGTGCCTGCAGCGCCCTCACCGCGTCCTTGCTGCGCGCCCTGGCCGCCCCCCACACGTCCATGCCCACCACCCCACTCAGCTCCGCCTGCCACATGCAGGGCCAGCAGAGGGGCCGCGCAGGGATGCACACACGAGATGCGGAGGGGTGAGCGAGGGTTTATGGAGAGGCGCAGGAGGAGTGAGGCAGGAGAGCACGCATGAGAGAGATGGGTGGCGCGTGGCAGCGGATTGAGTGGCGAGGGTGCCGGCACATGTGCGGTTGATGGAGATAAGGACGGCAGCATCGATTTGAATGGGCGGGAACGGATGGCCGCGGGAGGAGAGGAAGCATGCGAGGGAGCGAGGGAGGCAATAGGGAGACGAGGAGGAGCGAAGAAGGCAGCGGGAATTGGACATGAGGAGAGGCAAGGAAGATGAAGAGTGGCAAGGGAGAGGGAGGGGGAGCGGGCGGGCGTGCCTTGAAGTCAGCGTCGTTGGCTTCAAGCAGCGCTGCGGTGGAGTGCTGTCCGAAGAAGACGGTGCGGGACAGGAGAGACGTGTCCCTGTAGTGCATGCGCATGTTCAGACGCCGTCACATGCACACACATGCACAGAGGTGCCAGCACAAGCGCACGCATGCATGCACGGATGCACGCACATGCATGGGCACGTACACAGATGCACACAAATGCATGCATACACATGCATGCACGCATGCATACAGGTGACACCAGATCCAATACAACACATAGTTATTGTTGACGAATTGGGTAAATAGGTGCTAATCTAGCCGCACACAAATGCACATGATAGAGATGACACTAGTGCATGCACGCTCACAGCACAGGGCACAGTGGCTCACATGAGGGCGTCGATCCTCTCCTGCGTGAGTCTGATCTCCTGGCATGTCTGGTCCTGCCCCTCCACCTCCAACCTCAACGCCGACCGCCGGCTGCACCGGCACGAGGGGCGCACAGGGGGAGGGAGGCAGGGGAGAGGAGAGAAGGGGAGAGGTTTAGCAAGGGAAAGTGGGCACAAAGGAAGAGGTTCTGTGAGGAAAAACGGGAAGAAGGGGAGAGGTTGTGAGAGGGAGAGTGGGCTAAGTGTGGAGGACGATGCAGTGAGGCGAATGCAGTCCAGGCCTTGCCCCTCCTCTCCACACACTTGTCGCTTTTCTCTCTTGTCCAAGCACCACCGCACCACGTCCTCCCCCACCCACCTGGACGCCTCCCTCCCCACCCACCTGCACGCCTCCCTCTCCACCCACCTGGACGCCTCCCTCTCCACCACAAACGCCTTGCCATTCACCCTCCCCTCCACCCGCACCCGCGCCACTCCAGCTCCACTGCCCTCCCCCTTCCTCCTCCTCCCGCGCCCCTTCCCCTCACCCCCCTCCCCTTCGCCCTCCCCCTCCCCCTGGCCACTGCGGTGCACGACATCGGCCATGCGCAGCCCTTGGCGGGAGTCAGGGCGCGCGTCCATGCTGCCCGTGAGCGCCCACAGCGCCGCCATGGCCAGCGACGTCTTGCCCGCCCCGTTGCTGTCGCCCGCCGCCCCCCCCGCCACCTCGTTGCGCCCACACAGCAGCACGATGCCGCGTGCAGCGAGGGGGTAGGTGGTGGGCGCGAGGAAGGGGCCGAAGCCACTCAGATGCACCGCATCCAGGCACACGTGCGCTGGCGGTTGAAGGGGGCAGGTCACAGGCAGAGGCACGGGATTGCAAACAGAGGAAGAATGAACTGGAGTGGAGCGAGGAGAAAAGGTGTGTGAGGAAGGACAATGAAGGTGGAGAGGGAATAGGAAGGCGTAAGGAGGAATTGGGAGCGTGGACGGAAGTGCAGAGGGCGAAGTTGAGAGAGGAGTGAATGACGGGGGACATAGCCTGTGAGGCGTCCATGGCATTCCAGCAGTACAGCTCCCCGTCCCCCAGCCCCCTGCCCTCACCGCTGGTGCTGTGCATGAGTCTGGGTGGCACTTCCAAGTCCTTGAGCAGGTCTTGGGCGGCAGACAGGACGGGTGGCGGCAGGTGGGCGGCAGTGGCGTAGCTGGCAAACACCCGTGAGGGCTCCTGCGAGAGGAAAGGGGAGGGGGTTATTGGTGCAGATGGAATGTTGCAGAGATGTGGGGAAAAGCAAACAACAGGCAAGTCTCCCCCCTCTTGATGGCGGTGCGTGCCTCGCTCTCATCCCCACTCTCTCTGCCTCACTCAGCCCACAAACCCCTGTGTCAACCCTCGCTCATCCCCCTCCCCCACCCACCTACCAGAGTGTCACCCCACCCAATGCACGGGCACCACCCACCAGAGTGTCGGCCTCAAGGATGCGGGGCGGGCGGGAGAGCGCCTGAGATGCCACTGTCTGCACCAACGCGCCTGTGGCACGCAGACACGCCTGCAGGGCGGGGCGGGGGGGGGGGGGAGGAAGGACACGGCGAGGCCATGGGCGGAGTGAGGCATGAATGGGATCCGGGCGCCTCTGTGATGAGCGGCCTGTGACATCACCAAAGGTCCAGTTCTCAGCAGCGACGGCCATCTGGCAGCATGTGACAGGCGGTACGAGGCGTGGGCTCCGCTCACCAGCGCGTCTCTGGTGTCCTTGGCGGCCGCCCCTCCAGGCACCTCCCACCGCACCAGGTCGCCCGCCCGCAGTTGCGCCACCACCTGCTGCCACCCCTCGCCCGCCTGCCACCCCGACTCCCCTTCACCTTCACCCGGCTGCGAGGCTAAAGCAGCGGTGGGGATGATGAAGTGGCGCGGCCCCACGTGCAGAGGGATGTCCTCCACGTGCTCCCACGTGCCGCCCCGCAGCACCACGGCGCGCTTGCTCTGCCCCGCCTCGCCAAAGCTGTGCTGCATGCACGACCCCACGTACACCACGCTGTGACCGCCCTTGGCCACGGTGTGCGGCAGGTGCAGGTGGCCCGAGTACAAAGGCACGCCCGGTGGCAGCAGCAGCGGATCCAACCCCTCCCCTGGAAGTGTTATGGCGCCCTCCGTGCTGCTGCGCCGCGCGCCCTCCACGTCGGCGTGCATGAAGACGGCGCGGATGGGGGGCGTGGAGGGCGGGGGGGCGTGCAGCGCTTGGTGCATGGCGGCGGAGAGGAGGGGGGCGTGGTGGCGGAAGGGCAGCCAGAGGGCGGCGAGCAGCACGGTGGGGCGTGAGAGCACCACGATGTGCGGGTTGATGCGCTCCAGCACTGCCAGCGCGTGCTGCGTGCCGTCCACTGACACCTGGCAGGGGGGGGTGATGGTGAGAGGGCGAGAGCGGCGGATGTGTCTCCTCAGAAAGGAGAAGGGAGGGGAAGACGGAACGCCTAGTGATGAACGCAATGAGGGAGGAAGGAGGCAAAATGGAGCAATGCGGATGAAGAAAGTAGCAGCATGGCAGGAGTGACGTGGTGGCACCTGGTGGTGGTGGCAGTGGCACCTGGTCGTGGTTGCCGGGGATCATGAGGGTGGGTTGAGTCCATACGGCGGGTCCCATGGCGTGCATGACAGCGTTGAGTGCCTCCACTGGCAGCGACCCCCTCACATGCCAGAAGTCCCCCAGACACACCACGCCCGCCGCCCTGCCATGCCATGCCATGCCATGTGATGCCATGCCATGCCATGCCATGCCATGCCATGCCATGTGATGCCATGCCATGCCATGCCATGCCATGTGATGCCATGCCATGCCATGCCATGCCATCAAAACACAAGACTATGATGGTTTGACTTAAAATTGTGTCATGGAACAAACCAATGCAATATGCGAGACTCTGCAGGCGACTGTACCCCACACTCATCCGAGTTCGTCTCTACCCTCAACTCAACCGCACACACTGCTGCGGCGTGCACCTGTCTTTGGCGAGCTGGTGCACGTGTGTGAGCAGCGCGGCGCACAGCTCTGCATTGCGGCGCGACACGTGGAGGTCGGAGAACACCACCCACCGCTGCACCCCCTCAAACGCTGCTGGCAGCGCTGGGGGATCCTGATCGGGTGACGGTGCACAGCGAGAGAGGGGGAGGTGGAGAGGGGTAGAGAGGAGAGAGGAGAAGAGGCCAGGTGAGGTGAGCGACACAGAGGAGAAAGAGTGAGGTCATGCATGTGCGGTATGGATTGATAGAAGCTTCTTGCGGGGCATGGCGTGCAGCGCATGAGAGTGATAGTGAGGAGGCAGGATGAGGTCATGCATGTGCATGGCGTAGAGTGTGGAGTGGCGCATGGAGGCGAGCAGCTGGATTAATACGAGCTTAGGTATGCAGTGGCGCATGAGGTATGCAGTGGCGCATGAGGCATGCAGTGGCGCATGAGGTATGCAGTGGCGCATGAGGTATGCAGTGGCGCATGAGGTATGCAGTGGCGCATGAGGTATGTAGTGGCGCATGAGGCATGCAGTGGCGCATGAGGTATGCAGTGGCGCATGAGGCATGCAGTGGCGCATGAGGTATGCAGTGGCGCATGAGGCATGCAGCGGCGCATGAGGCATGCAAAGGGACAGAGGGCGAGGGGCACGTACGAACACCACTTGCTCACTCGCTCCACCTTCGCCCCCCACCTCCCTCTCCGCCCCACCCACTTCCACCCCTTCACCGCGCCACCTCTCCTCCCCCTCGCCACTGCTCTCCCCTATCACTGCTGCGCGCGCACCAGCGCCTGGCGACTCTGCCACCCGTGCGCCCATCACCAAGCCCCGCCACCGGCTCTCGCTGCCTACGCGCCAAGCCGCGGGGAGCAACCATCCTTCGCGGATGACGCTGCGGAGCGGCAAGCGCGGGCGGGGCAACCCCCGGCATACGTCCAAACCTGGCCCCCCCCGATCACCCCGGCCAAGCGGAGGTGCGCGGTGGGCAAACTGGGACGGAGACGCGCATGGTGGGGGCGCGTGGTGAGCAGAGGGGGAGCGCGCGACAGGGGCCGATGGCGGTGGGAGGGTGGTCCGGCCGAGAACAGCGGAGAGGACGGCGGAGGTGGCTGGGCGGCGCAGGGCGACGGCTCGATGGGCGGGGTGGGCGGAGCCCAACATCGCGGCGGAATGATTGGAATGATGGAGGAGGACGCCGCAATATTGGGGCGAATTTACCTCACACGCAAGTATCCTCATTACGGGGTGGAGACACTTTATTGTACAGTGGTGATGTCAGAATGTAGTACGGTAAAACTTGCTGATGTGCCCTAACAACAAGGAATCTCGATGAAACACTCCATGAAATTATAATCTTTCAGCCGTTGCGAGATGACTGCTTTGCTTGGTAATAGTTCCATGTAACGGAAGAGCTTGTGTGTAAGGTGCCGCAAATACGGTACTTACAAGCAACCAAGACAAACACAAGCACAAACACAAGCAGTAAAATAATATATACCACTTATCATGTGGTTACAAAAAAAGGCACTAGGAACTAGACATGGTCAGACAGCAGCAGCGGGGGCGGGTGCTCTTTCCTAGGAGGCGAGTGCACGGATGGCCTCCCCCGCCTCACAGATGCGCGCTACTGCCCTCCTGCCCGACACCGTGACGCCCTCCATGCTGTCTAGGTAGTCCTGCACAAGGGAGGTGGAGGGTGGGTGGTGGAGGGAAGGTGGAGGGAGTGGATGTGAGGGGGATGTGGTGGATGGCATCATGGCGGGCACAGGACGGGCCAAGCGACCAAGTGAGCGGTCTACCTGCTTGGGTCGCTATAGGGGGGTGGCAGGCGCACGTGCTAGGGTCGCTATAGGGGGGTGGCAGGTGTACCTGCTTGGGTCGCTACAGAAGGGCGGCAGGTGTACCTGTTTGGTGTAGGAGTCGGCGAGGAAGAAGTTGGGGACGGGCGTCTTCTGGTCGGGGCGGAACTGGTCGAGGCCGGGCGCCTCGCGGTACAGCGACTGGTTGATCTTCACCACCGAGTGCCAAAGCAGTGTCAGGCCCCTGCGCTGATGGGAACAGATCCATCACCTGGCCAGAACATGGGGGGGGCGGAGAGAGCAAGGGCCGGGCGAGGGAGAAGTGAAGGGTGGTTTTCAAAAAGGGCGAGTGGAAAGGGACAGGCAGCAGGATCACATGGGAATTGAGGCATCTAGACGGAGCCATGTGATTCGAGGCATGTGGTGTGGACTGAGAAATACAGCTAAAGACACTAGCAGGAGTCGAATCCATGGCGCAGGTTGTATGAGTGGCCTGTTCATTCATCTTGGCAACGATGGCCTCGTTGGTTATTGGCATGTAGGGGTCCGCTGGTGTGATCACCACCCTGTAATGCCGCAATACAATTTGAGCCAAGCAGGACGGGGTGAACAGACGAGAGGTTAAATTGGCGAGTATGTGACTGCATGGAGGGAAAACGGATTGATGGGAGCAGTGAGGACCAGGGACGGCATGTGAGGGGGGGTGGAGGGGAGAAGGGACAGTGCCTGAATGAATGACCCATGGTGGCCAGCGCAACCAGCAAGCATGAGTGGCGGGGATGGGTACGGCAGGAGTGAGCAGGGGAAGGGTAGGGGGGAAGGGGCACTGACTGCATGAGCGAGCCCTGTCCCTCCTTGTAGTAGTCGTTAGGGCTTGTGAGCGCCAGGTCAGCAAAGCATGAGAAGTCCGCATCGGGCGAGTAGAGCAGATTGTCCAGCCCTGCCGCCCATGCCAGCTGCCTGCAGGGGGGAAGAAGACAGGAGCAGAGGGCGGCAAGGGAGGGGAATATGCGGCTCTTGGCATGACCACAAGCAGGCCACTCATACATGCACAGGAAGCACTGGGGGAGGTAAGTGCAGGAGGGAGGGCAGAGGGAGGGCGCACCTGGGGAGCTCGATGTCGTTCATCTCAGTGACCCAGCCATCGTAGCGCAGCTGCACGGTGATGACGGGCACGCCCACCAGCTCATAGATGTCCCTCAACTGCCCCCACCGCTCCCTCCACTCCTTCGGCACCAGCCTCTTCGCCCCCGGCACGTCCAGAGCTGGTGGGGGGAAGTTGGGGAGGAAATGAGGAGCACGAGAGGGACAGGAGAAGGCTGATGCAAAGTACAGAGGCGGGCCAAGAGAGTGCTATGTGTGCTTTGTTGAATGGTAGACACGCATGCATCCCTGCCTGTGTCTTCCACCCGCAAAACCCAGCCCACAAGTTTTCCATTCCAGTGCACCAACCTCCCTCCCAGGCACGCACCAGCAACATATGCATCAGCTGTCACAATGTGCCCCTTGCCTCCCGTCTGCCAGGACACACACAGCAGGCCGCAGGGGATAGGAAAGACAATGGTTTGCAGCACATAGGATGATAGTCGCAGTGAATAGCTCAGGTGGCAGGCAAGGAATGAAAAGCAACTCCACCATGCCACTGCACTGCATACTCCTTCCCACCCCCCCCCCCCCCCCCCCCCCCCCTCCCCTTCCCACATGCATCTCCCACTTCTCCCGCCTTCCCCTCTCACCTGCTTCATGCGCAGGCCAGTGACAACGGTGGAGCCATCAGCGGCGGTGGAGTAGAGCACCTCCTGGCACGGTTGCCGCACGTGGAACCTGCTCATGCACGGGGAGGGCCAGGTGGACGGCACAGCAGTGCAGGTGAGGTGAGCTCAACCCAGGCACACTGTTCATCATGTTCCCCTGCCAACCCCGCCCACCTTCCCCACCCCATCCTCCCCACTGCCCCAACGCTCGCCCTCCACAATCCATCTTCCACTCCAAGCTGTCAATGTGAAGACAACATAGGTGCCACAGTTCGACAATGGGTGGAAGGAAATAGTGAAGGTGCTTGCTTGCTTAGATTTCATCCAAACACCTCCACAGTTAATAGAATTTCTACAGCGTTTCTTCATTTTAGTCCGTTGCTCTTCCACATTCCCCACACGTGCCTGCCTCTGCAGTCGATTAAGTCGGTGCCATGGCTCACCTGCCACCATGGTCGGTGATGCATTCGGCTCACCTGCCGCCACGGTCGGTAACGCAGTTGCCTCACCTGCCGCTGCAGTCAGTGATGTATTTGGCGATCGGGCCAGCGAGGAAGTGGTCGGGCGAGCCATAGAGCATGCGCAGCATGGATACCTCGGTCTTGGTGGCGAAGAAGGCGAAGATGGTGAGCATGCAGCGCACACTGATGTTGTCGCAGTCTATGAACCCCAGCGCGTATGCCACCGGGTCCCACATGCGCTTGATGCTCTCCCTCGTGCCGCCGTGCGACGTGAACCACTCGCTGAAGCTCACCTGCTCGCCCACACAGCACCACAGCGGGGCAGCACAGAGGGGCAGGCAGCACAGGCAGATGATGTCTGTGCATGACAGAAATAAGAGCTATTGAAACGATGGACAGGAATGCAAATAAGCATGGCTTTCTCAGCAAGGTGAGAGAGCAAGGACTTGCATAGCCGAGGTGAGGGGGCGAGTGGTGGGGTGGGGTATGGAGATGGAGGGAGGGGGGAGGAGGGGGATGACGCGGGGGAGGAGGGGGGTGACGTGGGAGGGGGAGGGGAGGGGTGGGGCGTGCCTTGTCGAGGTCGCGGATGACCTGGAAGGCGCCCTCGGGGTCCACCAGCGCTCGCACCACGGGGCTTGTTGCCAGTGCCAGCGCGTTGAACGCCTTGTCCACCGGCTGCACGCATGCATGCATGGGAGAGGCGCAGCGGGGAGGCACGGGTGATGATGTGATGTGATGTGACGAGGAATGTATCACCAATGCCAAAGCACTGCCTATCATTCAGCGTGTCGTGCAGAGAGAAAGGCGTGGTAATAGAGAGGCACGAGAGCGAGGCTGGCCGAGAGCTGGTTGGTGGTGAAGAATGCCTTGAGCCCGTGGAAGGGCGCGTACGTGATGAACCGGAAGTCTAGCTCTGTTCACGCCATGCCATGCCATGCCATGCCACACGTCCACGTGGGGTCGGGGAGGGGGAGGGAACGATGAGGGGAATATAGAACGGGAAATCAAGAAGGAATGAACCAGCTATATGGAGCGAGGAGAGAGGAGGTGCGCGTCATGTGTTGAGCAGTTTCTCCATCAAACCAAACCATGAGACTGCGCGAGGAAACGAGCGTGGGTGATGGCACGGGTGGGCGGCGGGCACGAAGCGTCTCACCGCCAGTGACGCCGCCCTTGTTGATGAAGACGTGCGTGTGCTCCTTGCGCAGCAGGTTGTCCACCACGCCGCTCTGCACATGCGATGCGAGCCACCAGGGGAGGGGCATACATGTAAATGACTTTCGTTCGTTTGCCAATGGTGAGAAGTGTTTGGGCTACGAAGCGGAAGAGGGTGGGCTTGCCTTGGCCATGAGGCAAGACGGGTTGCGCTTGCCTTGGCCATGAGGCGGAAGAGGGTGCGCTTGCCTTGGCCATGAGGCGGAAGAGGGTGCGCTTGCATTGGCCATGAGGCGGAAGAGGTTGTTGTAGCAGTCGAAGAAGACGTGCAGCCCCATCTCGATGTGGTTGCCGTCCTTGTCTTGAAAGCTCGCCACCTTGCCGCCTAATAACGGCCGCGCCTCGTAGATGTCCACCTGCTCGCATCCACGCTCGTTCCCCACACACGCACCGCGCACACCCCCTACGAACGCACATCCCCCATGCACGTGCATCCCCCCCGCACATCCGGCGCATGCCCGAGCATGGCATGTGAAGTTCTATTAGCGTGAGAAACTGATTCGAGCAACATGAATTAGAAAGATCGCCCCGCTACAGAGATACTTACACCACAAGCACTTAACATCCGCCGTTCCGCGTATTCGGTTCAGCCTTTGCCCGACATTCCAGCTCACCTCGTGGCCCTGGTCCAACAGCTCACCTCGTGGCCCTGGTCGAGCAGTTCGGCGGCGGTAGACATGCCGGCCAGCCCCGCGCCCACGATTGCCACCTTGAGCTTCAGCCCCGTGTACTTCTCGGGCTCCGGCGGGAACAGCCCCTTGGGCGCTGCCGTGCACCGAGGAGGGGAAAGACGAGAGAAAGGGAAGTAACATGACTAAACAAAACGCAGCGAGACACTAGGATTCTGGGCGGCGTGCGGAACAGCAACGCCGCAAAGTCATCACAAATTCGACTAGAGGCGTATCCACTGGCCACTAGTTTTATCATCGCGACTCCGGTTTTAAAGGACCTGCTTGTAGCGTACTCGTTGTGCTTATATCGCACGTTCGGCTCATACCGTACCAACTCAATTCGGATCGCATTCGCGCGGCTCGTACCCTACCTGCGCGGCTCACACCTACGCGGGTCTCATCCTACTGGCGCGGCTCATGTCGGAGACGTAGTCCATGATGGCGGACGCCCTCGTGACGGGCGCTGCCGCCGTCCTGCCGCTCCGCGCATTGAGCCGCACCGCCACTATCACCTGCCACGAGAAAAAGACGGGATCCGAGTGAGGGGAGCTAGATAGCGGCGAGTTGAGACAGCATGATGAAGTGGAAGCACAACGGGAGCCGAACGAAGCGATCGGTGGTCTACCTGCCGTGCAGCCAATAGGCGTCGCCCTCCTAGAAGAGGCTGCGGCCAGCTAGTCTTCAGGGCGGCGGGTTGAGCGAGGGCAGCCATGGCAGACGAGGTCGCGTTGGAGATGTAAATGAAAGGCTGCTGTTTTGCGAAGAACTGCTGGGGTTGTTCTTCGTGCTTTTGGGCATGTGGTTGACTGGAATGCTGTTCCTAAAAGTGCAGTTTCGAAGGGATTTGGTGCAAGAGGCTCACGCGGGGATACCTTTCCACGTCACCCTCGGGCATTGCGGTCGCTCGAGGATAACAGAGGCGTGGCTGTGAACCGCTCACGTGGCACCAGGAGAGCCCGAGAACCGAAATGTGAAGTTGTCGTCAACCGAACAAGGTTGGTAAATCCATTTATTGTAATTACCAGTACGCCTTTTCCACCATTCTGTAATCTACTGCTTACGCTGAACTTAGTGGGGCAATTGGTTTATGAGATCTCATACAAGTTATGAGTACAGCACATGCCACCCCACTCCCACCCGTTAAATGAATGAACTGTCAAATTATATATATGCTATATATGTTTAGGCTGTAGTGGGGTAGCCAATATGGGGTACAGCCCCTTTTAGGGTTTCATACTTGTACCCAACTCCTTCCTAGTTCAATCATTCCTGCTAGTTGATTCTGACATGGTATTCAGAGCAGTAGGTCCTTAGGACCATTTTTTTTTTCGAGCCCACCTACCGTTGCGGTTACTGAGCTGCCCCACGACTTGACTGCGCTGCGCTGCCCGCGCGCGCCCTGCTTTGCCTGCGCTGCGCTGCCCGCGCGCGCCCTGCCTTGCCTGCGCTGCGCTGCCCTAGTCCCGTGCGCTCCGCCTGCTGCTGCCTCGCGCGCCGCTCAGGCTACCCGCACGCAGCCCGCTGCTGCCCCGCGCATCGCCTCCGCCGCTCGCGCAGCCCGCGGCTGCCCCGCGCGCCGCCTCCGCCGCCCTCGCGCGGCCCGCTGCTGCCCCGCGAGCTGCCTCCGCCGCGTGCGCAGCCCGCGGCTGCCCCGCGCGCCGCCTCCGCCGCGTGCGCAGCCCGCGGCTGCCTCGCGTGCAGCCTCCGCTGCCCCCGCGCGGCCTGTTTCTGCCTACCCGCGCGTTGCTTTCTGCAGCCCGTGCACCGCACTCTGCCTACCCGTGCGCCACTTTCTGCCTACCCGCGCGTTGCTTTCTGCAGCCCGTGCACCGCTTTCTGCCTACCCGTGCGCCGCTTTCTGCCTACCCGCACGTCGCTTTCTGCAGCCCGTGCACCGCTTTCTGCCTACCCGTGCGCCGCTTTCTGCCTACCTGCACGTCGCTTTCTGCAGCCCGTGCACCGCACTCTGCCTACCCGTGCGCCGCTTTCTGCCTACCCGCGCGTCGCTTTCTGCAGCCCGTGCACCGCACTCATGGCGACTCTTAATGTCCTCGCTTTCGATCCTGACGGTCGCCCGATAGAGTTTGCCACTTGGCTCGACGACCTGCAACTGTTTCTTATGACTGATCCCAAAGACGGAGTTTCACTGTTCGATCACGCTTTGGCACTTCCGTTGCTCCTGCTGACACTGCTACCGCTCTCGACCGCTCACAGTGGCAGACTAGAGATGCTGCAGCGCGCCTCGCTATTCGCAATCATCTGTCGATCACTGAGCGCGCGCACTTTAGTCAGCACAAGGCTGCTAAGGCACTGTACGAGGTTGTTGTTGCCTGCTACTCTTCCCCAGCAACTGCAGCCATAGGTCGTCTCATGCTACCCTACGTGTTCCCCGACTTGTCCTCGTTTACCACCGCTGAGGACCTCATCTCTCACCTGCGCGCTAGTGACGCTCGCTTTCGTGCCGCCCTCACCGACGAGTTCCTCGCAGAGAACCACCCCCCGATGTACTTTACTCTCTACTTCCTCATCACCCGCCTCCCTGACACCCTTCGCTCAGTCAGGGACCACTTTCTCGCCCTAGACCCTCCCACTATCACTATCGCCGACCTTGAGAAGCACCTCCTAGCAGCCGAAAAGAACATTCTCGCTGTAGGTGCTGCTCGTGGCACTCCTCGCACTCCCCTCGTTGAGGGGTGCTCCCCCTCCCCTCTTACACCCTCCTACGCCTCTTCTGCTGCTGCTCTCGACTACCTTGGTGCCGAGGAGGTCGGGGCTGCTTCCGCTCCTAGTGGGAAGCGCCGCAGCGGCAGGGGCAGCAGGGGTGGCAGGGGAGGTGGAGGTGGCAGTGGAGGGGGCGGTGGTGGAGGCGGCGGGGGAGGCGGAGGTGGTGGGGGTGGTGGTGGGGGTGGCGGTGGTACTGGGAGCGGTGGAGGTGGCAGCGGCGGCAGTGGGGGAGGAGGGAGCGGTGGTGGCAGCGGGGGTGGGGGCGGGAGTGGGACCGGCCAGAAGGGGAGTTCCAGTGGTGGCCAGGGACAGCAGCAGCAGCAGCGTCAGCAGCAGACCCTCTCCCCTCAGCAGCTTCATGACTGGTATGCTCAGTGTGGGGCGTCTGGGGGTCCTGCTCGCTGCCCTTATATCATTCGCACAGGCCCCCGCACTGGTCGTCCATGCGGCGGGTCTCACACTGAGCACCGCTGCTTCGCTCGGCTTAGCGACGCCTGGCGCGCCAAGTTTCCAGAGGCTACTGAGTTCCCCGCTTGGGCGGACCTACTTAGGCGTGGTGTTCCTATCTTTGATCTTGACTATGATGCAATTCTTGCTGCCATGTATGCATTGACTGTTAGTGCTGAGGGTGACTGCTACTTGTGTATGCCGCCTGACCCAGGTATAGAGTCTGCAGCCCTAGGTGCTAGCGAGTCTGCTCTCCCTGGTACCGCGTCCGCTCAGACTTTGCACACCTTTACACTTGACTCTGGTGCTTCCCGCTATTTCTTTCGCGATAGCACCACAGTCACTCCCCTCCCTGCACCTGTCCCTGTCTTATTGGCTGACCCCTCTGGGGGCCCAGTGCTAGCACGGACCTCTACTGTGCTTCCGTGTCCGGCGGTCCCGTCTGGTGAGCTGTCTGGTCTCCACCTCCCCTCGTTCTCTACGAACCTAGTGAGCACCGCCGTCCTTCAGGATCACTGGGTTGACACCTTTACTCCTGGAGGACAGCGTGTGGCGATCTGCACGTGCTCTCGGACCAGCCGCCACCTGGCCACGTTCACACGTGCGCCTGGGTCCACTCTGTACACCCTCACCACTGTGTCGCGCTCCACCCCGTTGTCTCATCAGCTGTACGCGTCCGCTCAGGTAGCTACCCGGTGTGAGTGTCGCAGCCTGTCGCACCAGACTCTCCTGTGGCACCACCGCCTTGGTCACCCCTCCCTGCCCCGTCTTCGTGGCATGCACTCTCGCCACCTGGTCTCTGGTCTTCCTAGGTCTCTGCCCTCCCTCCCTCCCTCGCCTGCGCCGCCCTGCATTCCTTGCGTCGAGGGGCGGCAGCGCGCTGCTCCTCACTCCTCCTCGTTCCCTCCCACAGAGGCTCCACTGCAGACTCTCCACTTGGAAATGTGGGGCCCAGCCCGCGTCTGTGGACAGGGCCACGTGCGGTACTTCCTGCTGGTAGTCGACGACTACACGCGTTACACCACGGTCTTCCCCTTGCAATGCAAGGTGGATGTCCCTGATGTTTTGATCCCTTGGATCCGCGCTGTTCGTCTCCAGCTCCGCGAGCGGTTCCACTCGGACTTTCCTGTCCTGCGTCTGCACTCCGACAGAGGTGGTGAGTTTACCTCAGACCTCTTGCGAGCCTACTGTGAGGAGCACGAAATCCGCCAGACGTTCACGCTTCCGGCCTCTCCGCAGCAGAATGGGGTTGCTGAGCGCCGCATTGGCTTAGTCATGGAGGTCGCTCGTACCTCCATGATCCATGCGGCTGCCCCCTATTTTCTGTGGCCGTTTGCGGTCTGGTACGCCGCGCATCAGCTCAACCTCTGGCCCCGTGTCTCCGTGCCGGAGACTTCGCCCACACTGCGTTGGACGGGGGAGGTTCCGGGTCTAGGGTGCTCGTGCCTTTGTCCGCGATACCACTGCGGACAAGCTCTCCCCTCGCGCCATTCCTTGTGTCTTCCTTGGCTTTGTCCCTGACGCGCCTGGCTGGCAGTTTTACGACCCCGCCTCGCGCCGTGTCTTTCCGTCTCAGGACGTCACCTTTGACGAGTCGGTCCCCTTTTACCGTCTCTTTCCCTACCGCACTGCTTCTCTCCCCCCCCCCCCGCCGCTCTTTCTTGCTCCAGGTCCTCCCCAGGTAGACCCCCTCCCCGCTCCAGGTCTTGCTCCTTCAGGTGTGTCTCAGGTAGACCCTCCTCCCTTGACTGAGCCGGTTGAGGTCACTGGTGACTCCGATCCTGCTGGGGGTGGTCCTGCTCGGGGTGCTGCTTCTGGGGGTGCTGAGCCTGGGGGTGTGGAGCCTGGGGGTGCTTAGCCTGGGGGTGCGGAGCCTGGGGGTGCTGAGCCTGGGGGTGTGGAGCCTGGAGGTGCTGAGCCTGAGCGTGAGAAGCCTGGGGGTGCTGAGCCTGAGGGTGCGGAGTCTGGGGGTACTGCGCCTGGGGGTACTGAGTCTGGGGGTACTGCGCCTGGGGGCGCTGAGGCGCCTGATGTGCAGTCTCCTTGGAGCGGCCGCCTCCGTAGTCGCTCCGTTGGTGCCTCGCCGCAGCTCTCTCGTCGGCGTCTCCCTCTCTCCCCACAGCAGCTGCGTGAGTGGTACGTTAACCGTCAGGGTCGCACTCCTGGAGCTGTTGGAGGTACTGGCGCTGGAGGCGCTGGAGCTGGAGGTCCTGGAGCTGCTGGAGGTGCTGGTACTGGAGGTGCTGGCGCTGGAGGTTCTGGGGCTACTGGAGGTCCTGGAGCTGTTGGAGGTACTAGAGCTGGAGGTTCTGGAACTACTGGAGGTTTTGGAGCTGTTGGCGGTGCTAGCGCTGGAGGCGCTGGAGCTGGAGGTTCTGGAGCTACTGGAGGTACTGGTACTGGAGGTGCTGGCGCTGGAGGTGCTGGTGCTGGAGGTGCTGGAGCTGCTGGTGCTGGTGGCGCTGCCCAGCCGCGACTGTTCTTCGCTCCGCCGTCGCCTTCGTCTCTGCCACCGCCTGACTCCGTGCTTCGCCAAGTTCTTAGCCTCCCGTCTTCTACTGGTCTTCCGTTACAGCCTGGCACACCGCTGCCTGCTCCTTCTCCTTACACTGAGCAGACAGGAGGTCTTACTGAGCGTCGTGAGCCTGCGTCTCGTCCTGTCTCGCCTGTTTGCACTGTCCGCACTGGTCGTACTGGTCGTCGTGTTCCTCGTGAGCGTCCGCTAACTGTCCCCGGCACACACCTCATGGCCCTGCGTCCTTCCTCTGCTCCGCAGCGTGATCCTCTGCCGTCCCCTCCTGCGTCTTCTCTGCCTGACGTTCCAGAGCCTGAGTCTAACCGCGCTCGTGCTGCTCACCCTACTGTCACGCGTCTGCTAGCCACTGTTGTCACTGACCCGTCGTTTGAGTCTGCTGCTGCGTCTGCCTTCGTCGCCGAGCTTGTTGACTTTGCTGCTGCCTGTCGTCTAGACTACGCCGCTAGTCTTGTTGCTGAGTCTGAGTCTGTCTGTCCTCCGTCCGTCAGGGGTGAGTGTGCTCTTAGCACGGACGTCCTTGAGGACAGGCAGGAGGACCTTGAGTGTCTTGCAGCCGCTGCGCCTCATCTCATGGCCATGCTGCTTGCCCCTGAGGGAGACCCGGATGCTCCAGACATCCCGACCCCGCGTTCTTACGCTGAGGCGATCGCGGGTGAGTACTCCTCTCAGTGGCAGACAGCCATGGACGCAGAGATGGCATCCTGGAAGTCCACAGGCACTTACGTCGACGAGGTTCCCCCTCCTGGGGCGAACATCGTCGATGGCGTGTGGATTTTCAGGGTGAAGCGGCCGCCAGGTTCTCCGCCTGTCTTCAAGGCTCTTTACGTTGCTCGAGGCTTCAGCCAGCGGGAGGGAGTTGACTTCTTCCAGACCTTCTCCCCCACCCCGAAGATGACCACTCTTCGGGTGCTGCTGCACGTTGCCGCTCAGCGTGACTACGAGCTTCACTCTCTTGACTTCAGCACAGCTTTCTTACAGGGCAGCCTGCACGAGGAGATCTGGCTGCGCCGCCTACCTGGCTTCACTGGGTCGTTCCCTTTTGGTACCCAGTGGAGCCTCCGGCGGCCAGTCTACGGTCTCCGCCAGGCGCCGCGTGAGTGGCACGGCACATTGAGGACGACACTTGCGGCTCTTGGGTTTGCTCCTTCGACTGCTGACCCGTCGCTGTTTCTGCACACCGACACTTCGCTGCCGCCGTTCTACATCCCCGTGTACGTCGACGACTTGGTCTTTGTCACTGCTCACACTGAGGCTCTCGCCCTGGTGAAGTCGGAGCTGCAGAAGAGACACACGTGCACAGACCTGGGTGAGCTGCGCAGTTACTTTGGCTTGCAGATCACCCGGGACAGAGCACGCCGCACCATCACACTGACTCAGTCACACATGGTGCAGCAGGTCCTTCAGCGCTTTGGCCTCACCTGGTCCTCGGCACAGGCCACTCCTCTGGCTACAGGTCAGTCGCTCTCAGCTCCACCTTCGGACGAGTCCGTAGAGCCGAGTGGTCCTTACCCAGAGCTAGTGGGCTACCTCATGTACCTGATGACCTGCACTCGTCCTGACCTTGCGTACCCTCTTGGCCTTCTGGCTCGCTACGTGGCTCCTGGTAGGCACCGAAAGGTGCACATGGATGCTGCTAAGAGGGTACTGCGCTACTTGTGCAGTACATCGGGCATGGGGCTTGTGCTTGGAGGACGGGGCGACGTTGTCCTCACTGGGCACTCGGACGCTTCTTGGATTGACGACCTGGCTACGCAGCGGTCGTCACAGGGTTACACCTTCAGTCTTGGCTCTGGCTCTGTTTCTTGGCGGTCTACACGCTCGTCTTCTGTTCTCAGCTCCAGTTGTGAGGCTGAGATCTACGCCACAGCCATGGCTGCACAGGAGTTACGCTGGCTCACCTACCTGCTGACCGACTTGGGAGAGCGGCCTCGTTCTTCTCCAGTTCTGTACGTAGACAACAAGGTTGCCATTGCCTTGTGTCGGGAGCACAGACTGGAGCGCAGAACGAAGCACATCGCTCTGCGTTACTTCCTTGCTCGAGAGTTGAAGCAGCGTGGTCAGCTTCGTCTTGCTCACATGGCCACTCGGGCCAACACTGCTGATATATTCGCCAAGGCACTTCCGTCTGGTGATCATTAGAGTTTCTGTACTTTGTTAGGCCTTGTGCCCACGTTTCCTCACTTGTTGTAGCCTTTGCTTGTACTGTGATCTATATATATACCTGCATGCTTGTTCTGCTATGTAGAGATCACTGTGTTGCTATTGTTGCATATATACCTCTGCATGTGAACCGGCCTTGTGGCCCTTTGCTTGTGCTCAGTGTGTGTGGTGACGTTGTGATCCACCCTGAGCTTGCTTTGCTTCTCTTGACTGGTCTTGTGACCCCTTGCTCTCCCCCACTTTGCCTATGGGAGTGTGTCAAATTATATATATGCTATATATGTTTAGGCTGTAGTGGGGTAGCCAATATGGGGTACAGCCCTTTTTAGGGTTTCATACATGTACCCAACTCTTTCCTAGTTCAATCATTCCTGCTAGTTGATTCTGACATGAACCTATCCCGGAACGTGACTGCTTGCAGGGCTCTTGTTAGCAGACGAATTTGGCCTGTTCGTCTAGATTTCAGGCTCGCTCTTTCTTGTTCATATGTATAGAAATACAATGCTCAGACAGAAGATAATGGCTCATATGAGAGCTCAGACATGGCTGCTATATTCATATGATTTTTCAGAACAGTTGCTATATCTAGTATGAGTTCCCAGATAGCGAGAATGTTTTCGTCTGACATGCTAAGGAGAAACAGGGGATCCCGTATACGGTATTCGCAGGAATTGAACCTGGATGTCTTCAAGTGTGAAAGCCCACATGACTCCATATGGAATCCACGTAGACCAGGGCCTGTGCTATGATTTAGGGCACCCTGAGCCCTCAGGGCAACTTTTGAAAACTCTCCAAAATGCCCTGATTTTTCAGGGCAAAAATTCCTCGCAATCCTGAAGTTTCAGGGCACCAGCAGAAATTCATCCGGATGTTTCAGGGCAAAAGAATACAAGACACTAGAGTGGAGGGGAAGGGAAGCCATGAGAGGAGCAGGTTGTTCAGTGGTTTCACTACAATGGGCTGAGCAAAAACCTTGGGGGGGGGGGGGGGGGGGGGGGGAGACAAAACTAGCACACCCACCCCCCAGCCTCCCTCCTCCCCTATCCCCCTCTCCCCCCCTCCACCCCTTCTTCCCCTTCCCACGAGTCAGGGCATCTCTCTACATTCACCCTAACGCTTCAGGGCAAAATTTCACTGCCATTCTGAAATTTCAGGGCAAAACACATGAATCATCCTGACGTCACAGGGTAAAGTTCACCGTCATTCTGAAATTCCAGGGCAAATTTAAAACACCATCCTGAAATCAGGGTAATCAGGATGTTTTGCCCTGATATCGTGGGCCCTGACGTAGACAACCGATTGGTATGTACAAGGTGAGTTATAGTCTCTCTGCTCTGCCGAGTGTTCAAACAATGCCCTCTACACATAATTTGGGGGGATGCTCATAAACAAAGACCACATTAAGGTGCTGTATCAACAAACAAATACCTAATTTGTGCATCAAGATGCACAGGCCTGTCTCAAGATACACTATATCACTCTAAAAGCCTGGACGTGATGGCGCTAGAATGCAGCAAGCAGGAGCCATCTTGCAGAGATGCATATATTTACAAGGGGCTTTGTCCAAGCTCATACAAACTCCCAGTCCCATTCTTCCTCTAGAGGAGCTTGACCTTCCAGCCCGCATGGGACGACGTCACCAACGCCTGCTGGAGATGCAGTTGGGAGATCGATGTGTGCAGGAGCCCTGGGTAGTTGAGGCAACCTTTCACAGGGAAGAAAAGGTCCCATGGAAGGAAGACATGGTGTGGTGGAGTTATGGGGGGGCACGTCTAACCAGCGTGCTGTGAACTCGCCTTGTGGCTGATTGGGAGTGTGCTGGAAGGCTGCTGTGGCCGCGAGGGGGCTAGGGCCAGCCGCTATCTGCTGCGGTGGAGGCAGTGTGTGGCTGCTCAACTCCGCAATGACCTGCACATCCAGTGCATTGCAGTGCAGTGCAGCCACAAAGCAGTCACAATACAGTCGAACGCACACAGAAACCTGAAGGACTAGTTCAGAAATGAACTTAACGAAACAAAGCTAGGTAGTAGTAATTCAAAGTTGAGAGCAAGGGCAATCATATGTTGTCCAGGTTCAGACTAGGCCGCTTTCCTGCCATCATATGACTGCATGCGCATGCTTCATGAGAGCATTCGCATGCACATTCCGCGCCTGCTCTCACCTCGTCTGCTCTCACCTCGTCTGCTCTCACCTCATCGATGTCTGGAATGCATGCCTCGTCCTCATCCTCCTCGCTGCCGCCTTCTCCTGCTGCTCCAGTCACTGTCTCGAACTGCTGCTGATTGCTGTCTGTCGCTGCAGTGGTGCTTACACAGGAGGCCCCAGCTTCACTGTCGGTGCCGTTGATGCCAGCTACAGTGCAAGTAATGCCTTTCCCAGCCACTGCCATGTCCTTTGCTTCACTGAGCGCATCACTTCGCTCTCTTGCCTCACTCCCCGGCAGTACCTCACTCCGCGGAGGTTCGTCACGCCACTGCAATGCCTCACTGCACCCTCTTGGCGCACCACCACCTGCTGCCTCACTGCTGCTGCTAGCCAGCAACACCGCTGCATCTCCTTGCACTGCTGCTGCGCCTCCTGGAGCCCACTTCCACGCCACCTCCCCTCCGCCCTCCCCTTCCCCAACCCCATCGCCCATCTCTGTGGCAGCGGCAGCGGCGGCGCCCGCTGCCACCTGCTGGACGCCCACCAGCCGTGCCCGTGCCGGCTGTGGCGGTGGTGGTGGCGGTGGCGGTGCCTGTAACAGTGGCGGTGGTTGTGGCGGGGGGGAAGGCGACCGCAGCACAGCCAGAGGTGGAGCAGCACACACCAAGGCTGCCGCACATGGATCGCACCACAACGCTGGTGCCACAGCTCCTTCCTTGTTCACGTCGCCTTCGCCTGCACACTGCCCTCCCTCACCCCTCTCTTGCGCCACCACATCCACTCCACGCGACCCACCTGCCCTGCCACCACACCCCCCTGCTCTTCCCTCTGCACCTGCCCTGTGCTCGTTGCTGCCCTCTCCCCCTTCCCCGCTCCCTCCCTGCTTGCAATTATCCCCTGCAGCGTGCCCAGCCTGCACGACCCCAGCCACCATTCCCGCAGCAGTGCCAGATCCACCAGAGGGCCAATGAGGGCCAGTGCTCCCCTTGGTGCCACTCCTCCAGCCCTCCCCCCCCACGCTGCTCACCTGGGCCTCCTCCCCCACGCTGCTCCCCTGGGCCTCCTCCCCCACGCTGCTCCCCTGGGCCTCCTCCCCCACGCTGCTCACCTGGGCCTCCTCCCCCACGCTGCTCCCCTGGACCTCCTCCCCCACGCCGCTCCCCTGGACCTCCTCCCCCACGCTGCTCCCCTGGGCCTCCCCAGCGGCGCCAGGCAGCAGCGCATCCAGCTCGCCCACCATCTCCCGCCACTCGCCCATCGCCTCCTCCTCCTCTGCCTCGCACTCGTCGCCAGCCTGTGCCGATCCCTGCAGTCCCATGCATGCCGCACTCACGCCCTGTCTCGTCCCACCAGGCGCACTTACTGTGCCGAGATTTCCTCGCACTGCTGCCACTCTGCCCTCTGTCCCGCCCCGCTCTCTCTCACCCTCCACCACTCCTGCCAAACCGCCTCGTCCTCCTGCCATGGTCAGCGCTTTAACCGCTCCCTCAGATGCCACGTCGCCCCTCCCTGTTCGCCGCGCCATGCGCACGTCGCCACTAGCAGCAGCTGCTGACGCGCCCCCCACTGTGGCCGCACTCTCGCCCTCGTCGCAACCCCCCCTGGCGGGTGAACTCGCCCCCCTGGCGGCAGGCACCGCCGTTCCCCTTTTTTCAGCCAAAGCAGCAGAGGCAGGCGGGGCAGTCCCGCCCGGAGTACCGCGCTGGGCAGACGCGGGAGAGGCGCGTTGTGGCGCGGCGGAGGGGGAACGAACTGGAGGCAGAGAGGGAAAGAAACGAGGCAGGTTTGAGCACTCGAATGCGAGAGAGAGCAGGGACGGCAGCGGAAGGGACATAGAGGAGTAGGGGAAAAAGCAACGTTACGCACCACCAGGGTTCGCTCCACCACCATCCGTGCCAAGTCCCGTCGCACGCCCGCCGACTTCTGCCTCTCGCGCGCCCCCCGACCTCCCCGCTACTTTGGAGCCCCTCTCCGCCGCGCTGCAGGCCGACGCGCGCTTGCGCGCACTCGAGTGAGAAGCGACATGGGTCGGCGCACCAGCAGCAGCAGCAGCAGCAACCGTCTTGGCAGCAGCGGCGGCGGCGGGGGCGGCAGGGGCGAAGAGGTCGTCGTCGTCCCAGGCGGGCACGAAGAGGTCACGCACCAAGTCGCCGTACAGCTGTCGCACGCCGCTGCCCACCTGAGCGACGGACGATTCCACCATGTGCGACGTCTGCGGCACACGGGCGACCGCCAGCAAAGGAAGATAGTGGGCAAAGGGTAGCAGGCAAGGAAGGTGAGGAGAAAATAATGAAACGGATAGATAGCGTTTGAGAAAGGGAAGCGAGATGAATGTAGGGAAATCATGATAGGTAACAGGCGCGATTTATAAAGATAGGGATTAGCACATGTGCAACGTTTCGCATCCAATGGAACGATGGGGTAATGGAATAGTGAAGAAATAGTCACGAAATGATACGGCGGGTGAGGCAGGAAGCAGGGAAGCACACTGAGTGGGAAAATAAGGTTTCAATGGAAGAGAACGGCAACTAAAAGAAGCATCGAAGCCAGTGAACAGTTCGGCCGCGTGAAAGGAAACCTGGGATAGGAAGGATGGGGAGCTGTCGAAGTCAACTTCTAAGAATGACTCGAGCCTCGAATTCAGCTTCTCTAGCCACGCCATGCTTGCACGGGAGTACTAACTCCGCACAGGAACGAAACATGAATGAAGCTCGCGCTCTTGTTCTGGATAATACTGTGGAAATGGAGGTTGAAGCATTTGGGTTTGTGGTGCGAGCTAGAAAGAGGAGGGGATGAGGGATTGTGAGAGGAGGGATTGAGTGGGCAAGCACATGAGAGGAGAGGAGTTCCTCGAGGCGTGGTGGGGGAGGACGCAATGCAGCACTGAGCTTGAAGAAAAGGCGGTGCCTGCCTGTCAAGGCGGCGCAACGAAGGAACCATTCGCACGAGGGTGGCGATGAATCCCGAAGCTGAATCTGCGAAAAAGGGATCACTCTCGCTGGTGCACCCTCACAACTAGTGATGGCGACAAACGTCTCAGCTGAGTTACCATCTTCCTTATCCATCCAATGAGCGTACAGCCATGTCATACTGCATCGAATGTCACATCAACCGTGGACCACGTCACCAGGATTCTTGCCAAGTGAGTATCAAAGCGGCGGAAACATCGAAGCAAGACCAGAACCTCGAAAGACTCGCCGTAACATTACTTGCACTTACGGTCGAGTGTTACTACTTGAAAAATGGTGTTATGAGTTGCTGTAAGGAAAGGGAAAATATGCCACAAGTAACCATCATGTGACCCGATAACGTCAATGGTAGAAACAAAAATGCGTACGGTAACTGTATCGAGTATCCTGACGGGCTTGGTAAGTGGGGTCACGGATTCAGTCACTAAAAACAGCAAAAAAATCACGCGAATGGTAACACATGAAACTCCCGCCAGAAATTCATGAAACCAACCCAATTTCTCGTTCGCGCCAACTCGTACGGAGAGGTTTCATGCGTGCCTGTATTGTCGAGCCTGCAGACCACGGTAACCACACCACGATCCGACGTGCTGTACACCCCCAACCAAGTACACAACCTTGATCCCAACGCATCTCTCCAACTTACTTCCCGCCATCAGCTATTACTCACGCTATTACTAGTAGTTATAGCTTTCGCCAGCTGGATTCCCCGTCAGGCATCCAAGGCGTTCGTTAGCAGCACCTGACATCTATCAACGGTGCGTGCCTTAGCCCAAAAGCCTTTATGTCAAACTTATATGCTGCTTATTGTGTAGGCTATAGTGGGGTAGCCCATATGGGGTACAACCCAATTAGGGTTTCCTACTTGAACCCATACTGCTGCTAGTTCATTCATTCCTGTTCGTTATTCTGACATGGTTTCAGAGCAGGTCCTAGCCTAGGACCGATTTCTTAGGGCCCACTGAGTAGCGCTACCCCACCCGTCGCGCCACTGTGATCGCGTCGCCCTGCCCTGCCCTGCCCTGCGCTGCCCGCCGCAGCGCGCACTGCTTTGCCCGCGCGCCGCCTGCTGCAGCGCGCCCTGCTGAATCGCGCGCCGCCTGCTGCAGCGCGCCCTGCCCTGCCCGCGCGTCGCGCCGCCATAGCGCGCGCAGCCCTGCCCGCGCGCCGCGCCGCACGCCTCTGTCCTGCCCGCGCGCCGCGCCGCCGCGTGCCCTGCCCTGCCCGCGCGCCGCGCCGAGCGCCCTGCCCTGCCCGCGCGCCGCGCCGCCGTGCGCCCTGCCCTGCCCGCGCGCCGCGCCCGAGCGCCGCGCCCTGCCCTGCCGCACGCCCTGCCCTGCCGTGCGCGCCTTGCCCTACCACGCGCCGCTCACTGCTGCACTGCTGCTAGCGCGCTCACCTGCCTAGCCCTGCCTGCGTGCTGCTAGAGCGCCTGACTGCTCTGCTCGCTATGGCCACTCTCAACTTTCTCACCCTTCGATTCGGAGGGCCGCCCGATAGAGTTCAATGCGTGGCTAGACGACCGGCTGTTCCTGCTGATAGACTCTAAGGACGGTACTTCGCTGTTTGACCTCACGTCTGGCGCCTCGCCCGCCCCTGCCGCCACAGCTGACAGTGCGACTCGCTCACAGTGGCTTACCCGTGATGCTGCTGCTCGCCTAGCCATTCGCAACCACCTGCCGTTCGCCGAACGCGCCCACTTTGGCCAGCATAAGACAGCTAGAGCACTGTACGACGCTGTAGTCGCTCGTTACTCCTCCCCGGCCACTGCTGCTCTAGGCCGCCTTCTCCTGCCCTACCTGTTCCCAGAGCTTGTCAGAATCCCAACCACTAGACCATTGGGATAAAAGGGCTTGTTAAGTAACGGGTCAGTGCGCCCATAACCCCCCAGGCCAACATGCCTGTAACCCTTCCCTAGGATCAATCGGGGATCACCAGTAGACCTCTGACACCCTCCCGCACTGGGATGCCCGAAGTGCACACACTGGGATTCGAACCCGAGACCTTCGCTTTGATACCATGTCAGAATCCCAACCACTAGACCATTGGGATAAAAGGGCTTGTTAAGTAGCGGGTCAGTGCGCCCATAACCCCCAAGGCCAACATGCCTGTAACCCTTCCCTAGGATCAATCGGGGATCACCAGTAGACCTCTGACAGAGCTGTCCGCCTTTGCCACAGTAGCCGACCTCGTCACTCACCTCTGCACCAGTGACACTCGCTACGGTGCTGTGCTCCCCGCCGAGTTTCTCGCCAAGAACCCTCCCCCCATGTACATCACACTATACTTCATAGTCACCCGCCTCCCTGACTCTCTTGCCGCAGTCAGGGACCTCCTTCTTGCCCTTGACCCCACCGACCTCACTGTCGACCTGCTCGAGAAGCACCTCCTAGCAGCTAAGACTAGCATAGTCGCTGTAGGCGCTTCTCGTGGCACTCCTCGCACTCCCTTCTTTGAGAGGTGTTCGCCCTCCCCCCTTCTCCCCTCAGTCGCCTCTGCTGCAGCTGTTGACTACCTTCGTGCTGAGGAGGTAGGAGCTGCGTCTGCCCCTAGTGGGAGGTGCCGCAGCGGCAGGGGCAGGGGAGGCAGGAGCGGTGGGGGTGGCAGAGGTGGAGGCGATGGTGGGGGCGGTGGAGCAGGTGGAGGGGGCGGCGGTGGAGGAGGTAGTAGTGGTGGGGGTGGAGGGGCAGGTGGCGGCGGTGGTGGCGGCAGTGGGAGTGGTGGAGGCGGCGGTGGTGGCGGCAGTGGGGGTGGAGGCGGTGGCAGTGGTGGCGGCCGGGGTGGTACCAGCCAGAGGGGAGGCCTTGGAGGTGGCCAGAGGCAGCAGCAGCGTCAGCCCCTTTCGTCTCAGGAGCTTCGTGAGTGGTTTGCTCAGCGTGGGGCGGTTGGGGGTGGAGGTCGCTGCCCGTATGTCAGTCGCACAGGTGACCGCACTGGTCAGACATGCGGGCAGCCTCACACGCAGCACCGCTGCTTCTCCCGTCTTACCGACGCCTTTCGCGCAGAGTTTCCCGACGCGCCTGAGCTCCCTCACTGGGCAGAGCTGCTTAGGCAGGGTGTGGATATCTTTGCTTTAGACTTTGATGCTATCCTATCTGCCATGTATGCATTGACTGTTAGTGCTGAGGGTGACTGTTACCTATATATGCCGCCAGACCCAGGTATAGAAACTGCTGCTCTAGGTGCTGGTGAGTCTGCTCTCTCTGGTACTGCGTCTGCTGCGGCCCTGCACACCTTCACGCTTGACTCAGGTGCTTCCCGCTGTTTCTTTCGCGACAGTACCACAGTCACACCGCTCTCTGCACCTGTTGCTGTCTCTTTGGCTGACCCCTCTGGGGGCCCAGTCCTTGCACGTTCCTCCACTAATCTGCCTTGTCCGGCGGTTCCGTCTGGGTCACTGTCAGGTCTCCACCTCGCCTCGTTCTCTACGAGCTTGGTGAGCACTGCTGTCCTCCAGGATGCGGGGGTTGACACCTTCACCCCTGGACGGCAGCGTATGGCGATCTGTACGTGCTCCCGGACCGACCGCCACCTGGCCACATTCACCCGTCGGCCTGGGTCGAGTCTGTACACACTGACTACTGCGCCTCCTCAGATAGCTGCGTCTGCGTCAGGTCAGCTAGCGGCCCCCTGCTCGTGTCGCGCCCTGTCGCACCAGACGCTCCTTTGGCACCACCGCCTTGGTCACCCCTCTATGGCACACCTCCGTGACATGCACTCCCGTCTCCTTGTCTCTGGTCTTCCCAGGTCTCTGCCTCCCCTCCCACCCTCGCCTGCCCCTCCCTGCCTTCCCTGTATCGAGGGGCGGCAGCGCGCCGCTCCTCACTCCTCCTTGTTTCCCCCGACAGAGGCTCCCTTGCAGACTCTCCACCAGGACGTGTGGGGCCCAGCCCGCGTCCGTGGACAGGGCCACGAGCGGTACTTTCTGCTGGTTGTCGACGACTACACGCGTTACACCACGGTCTTCCTCTTGCGCCGCAAGGGAGAGGTCCCTGATGTTCTGATCCCTTGGATCCGCGCTTTCGTCTCCAGCTCTGCAAGCGGTTCGAGACGGACCTTCCCGTCCTGCGTCTGCACTCTGACAGAGGTGGTGAGTTTTCCTCCGACCTCTAGAGGGCCTTTTGTCGTGCGGAGGGCATTCGCCAGACGTTCACGCTTCCGACCTCTCCGCAGCAGAATGGGGTTGCTGAGCGACACATTGGCTTAGTCATGGAGGTCGCTTGTACCTCCATGATCCATGCGGCTGCCCCCCATTTTCTGTGGCCGTTTGCAGTCCAGTATGCTACGCATCAGCTCAACCTCTGGCCCCGTGTCTCCTTGCCGGAGACCTCGCCCACACTGCGTTGGACGGGGGAGGTTGGCGATGCGTCGGTGTTCCGGGTCTGGGGATGTCGAGCCTTTGTCCGCGATACGTCCGCGGACAAGCTCTCCTCTCGCGCCGTTCTCTGCGTCTTCCTTGGCTTTGTCCCTGACGCGCCTGGCTGGCAGTTTTACCACCCCACCTCGTGCTGTGTCCTGCCCTCCCAGGACGTCACGTTTGACGAATCCGTTCCCTTTTACCGTCTCTTCCCCTACCACACTGCCCCTCTCCCTCCCCCGCCGCTCTTCCTCGCGCCAGGACCTCCTCCGGTAGACCCCCTCCCCCCTCAGGGTCCTGCTCCCTCAGGTGTGTCCCAAGTAGACCCTGTCGAGC